ACAGCGTCCGTTGTTACCAAGGCCGAAACGAACAAAGACTTCTTAGTATTAATTATTTTCTATAAAAAAAGATTTATGATAGAAAATATCGGTAAATGTAGGCTCGCTTCCTAGTTCTATATTTATTTACTTCTTTATTTATTAACAATAATATTATTTTATATATAAAAATCGATAAATAGATTGAAAAAAATTACGACACGTTTTCGTGCCATTACTCTAATCAATAGAGCTACCTTTACACGTCATCGTCGATTTTTTTAATTTATCGATGCACCTCTGGCGCAATACAATTTCAACCTTCTAAGCACACAAAAATATTATATAACTTATATAAGCTTGCAATATACCTAAATACTAAATGTCACATTTGAATTTAAGATAAGATTTTATAGAGAAAACATTTAATAAAAATATGACAAGTAAACCGAAAAATACCCTTCTTTAGAAAATTACTATTCTATGGCTCTAAGTGGAGATGCAAGATATCGCATTGTGTTAATCGCGAAAGGTTTTAATCAAAGGGGAACAGTACGAAATTTCGGCGGTACGGTATAGAAGTCTGAATTATACTATATTTTAATTATATTCTATTTGCAAGAACAATTGTCCAGCAACGAGTATCTTTAAAACCAGTATGAAAATCACAATCTTTAATCGACTATTGGAACATGTGATTATCATACATTTGCATTCATTATATTAAACGGATATCCACTACAGTGTAGTGATAAATTGTAATAAGTCAAGGTAAATAAAAATAAGTCTATATATCGGGATATCCATGGATTCATACATCCTTTTTTAATCGGTTAAAAGTGAAAAATGATATTTACTTCCTATGTACATTTTTACTTATAAAACCACAGACTTATCAAGCATATGTACCTACGTTGTTATAAGTTTATCCTTTGTTAAGAAATTAGACCGACTTAATTGATTTTTATTTTCTTATTATAACAGACAGCAGGGTTCAAGTGATGGAAGGTAAATAAGGGCCATATAAGAAAACTGATCACGCATTTTAAATCTTAACTTCTTTTCCATCTGTGAAAAGCGACTTGTTTTTTAAACGTTGACTTATCATAGTAAAAAAAGATCATAATATCAATTACAGACTTGGTAAACTCGATGAAAGAATCAACCACTGACCCGACAAGCCCTTAAAAAGCTCGTTTCTCCAAATGCTAGTTTATCAGTTAAATTCCAGAATGTCTACACAGTATGGCTAAGACTGTAATTGAAGTTACATACTTCATAATTCCATACAGGAACCGAAAATAGCTTCCGCGGCCATCACAGAATAAGCTACAAAGCTTTTAAATGTTTAGTGCGTGCAACATACGCACGCTGTTTGATTAACCTTGAGATTTTAACGTAAATGCGTTATGTAAGTAATAAAACTCGAGGTAAATAATATAAGATTAATTTATTTCCGTATACTTTGTCACATTATCGTAAAAACTTAAACCTTGGTAGAGCAGCGTAGTATTTTATCTAAAAGTGTTTACTTTCGTTTAACTTATAATAGCACACAACAAGGCACAGGTGGCGCTAGTATTAAATTATAAGAGATAAGATAAAATAGTGTTGTGTAGTGACACACCACACTTATTGCGGGTTAATGGCTTCAATGCCACTAAATAATAATGAAAATCTGTATTTATGGATTCACGTCCTCTACAGGGCATGTGGGAGATCAGATCTTCCTACTTTTAAACTACAAAGTGATAGTACAAACTTTACTAAGGTGTACAAGCTTGGTATCGTACCCGAGATCTCATTTGCACAAATCACTAAACTATCGCTCCATATCCGTATATTAACTTTATATACTGTTTATTGGCTTTTAAGTGTCAAAAGGTAAAAGGCAAATCTGAGGTTTATTGCTTTAAGTTCGCGGCCTATTAATTAGTTTAACAATTATACAACTTACAGCTTGACAACTTATTTATGATCTTATCTGTGGTTTTGTAACTCAGACAATTTTAAAGTATAATTTGATTATAATAATTAAAATTTCATCAACAATTTTTATTATGGGTGTTACTCGGGTTAAAAATTTCAATTATATATTACAAACACAAATAAAGCAAACTATGTAAAAATAGGTCTTTAATAAAAACGAAATATGAAAAAACGTCGTTTCAATGTTAATTTGAATAACTACTATGAAATTCAAGCAACCGTGAAGAAAACTAACGAAAGATCAAACTCATCAAAATCTGTTTAGTCAACTATGCCGTATTGTTTGACATACAAATTAAAAACCTTCACGATCTGTTAATCTTGATAGTAAGTGAAGTGAAACACATTTTTTTTGTATTTTTAAATTATAAAATAAGGAATCGATTAATAGTCCATGTCATACCAGTCATGCATTTTTTATTATATTTCTTTATCAATACGAGGCCAAAACACGAGTTGCTCTGCAGATTTTCAAGATTAGCCTAAACTCATTCAAGCTTTTTACTTTTTTTAATATATACGGCCAGTTAGTACAGTTTAAACAATTAAGGAATGATTATTGTATTTGTATAAAATAGCATTTAATTGGTCTAACTAATGCCAATACAAAAATAATAAAAACAAACAAGGAATCGTTTATTAAACATACTACCTAGGTAATTAATTAGACTTTGCCATGAACATTATTAACATTAGCATTTATGTCACGATTTTATAATATATTACCACTCAGGAACTTAAAAGCAATGATTTGCATCTTCCGATATGTAATTATCACAATATTTAACTTCATAATATAATATATCATTAATTAATTTGTTTACTTATTCACCACAGTTAAAAAATCACTTAACAATTCTGAAAACTTTACACAGAGCTTAAGCAGAAAACAGATTACAAATTTGTATAAATAAAAAAGAAAAAATACAGACGCGTTAGAATGTCTACAGTCTACACATAAGGCGTAGACTAAACTAACCAAACTAAAAAAATAAAAGTTGTCAACATTTACAAAATGTTTACGCAGTGTATTTGTTAATATTATTTTGTTAAATATTATTTAATTTTTAACAGTTTAGAACAAATGAAATAATCTTGCAGTTTACTTACGCAGCTTTGCAGATGTATCTGAAGTCATAACAAGTCTCAGATTTATCTGTTTGTATCAAACTGGTTAATGCGTTATATAAACAATACAATTGATCTTGATGTCATACGCTTATTCGTTGTTGACTTAACGAACTGGTCAGGGAAGACTCATCGATGTGAAAATTCGCGTGTGGCGAAACATATGTTTACCAATATAAGCGTATGGCGACCGCAATCAATGTTAAGAATAGTTAAATTAGCCATCTATAAAGATAGATACTAATAAATGACGGTAGTTATAACTTTCTACGAGACGTTTGTTGACCAGCAGAATAATATACTAGTACGTGTATAGTCGAGCTACTTTTTTCTTAATTATTATTTTAGCTCATTAAGTATTTATTTACAATATTATAGATAGATAGTTCTTTAAAAACGGTTTCCTGATTTTTTAACTACCTTTCTTTAAAAAACAGAGCATATTCTTAGAATATATCGCGTTAAATGATCAATTACAAACACCCAATCAATGATCAGTCTGTCTCACTATTTTTTGTATTAATACTTAACAGTCAAAGTAACAAAAAACATAAAATTTTAACGATGTTTCGTTCAGGGCTGTCAGTCATAACAAAATTATAAATGTCGCAAATAATAGCCTGGTTTTGTAGATTACTTATGAATTATCTATCGCATAGACAACAATGAGACGTGGCCTTAGCTTATTATGTTGTTATGAATATTTGGGTCAGTGCTGTGGTTACGTGACTCGCTCAATAAGGAGAAAAGTGTTTAAGTCACCTAGGTGTTTGTTTATTGGTCATTCCATAGGCGCTAGGCATAGGGTAAATACGCCGCCATTTTGATAATACCATAGTATGCATCAAACTTCAAAATAATTGTAAATATATAGAAATATTTAGTGGCATTTAAATAAATTCAAAACTATTTATGGTTATTATTAGATATACACAGTTCATTATGGTTTATAACGTAAATTAGGTCAGTCAACCCCGTAACTTGCCGGAAAACATCCGAAGTTTCGTTTGTAAAAAAACGTGTATTAAACCGTTAAGTGTTTTTTTAACATAACACTTGCATGAAATACATATATTACAATAGCATTGTCATGTAATGCCAAAGAGAGACAATATGAATGATAAGACTAAAATGTAATAACCAAAATGGTAGAAAATATTGTATTAGTCAACCCCTGTGCAAAAATGTGCTACCACGCAGAAGGTATTACGGCAAAGTTTTCCTCCTCACATTTTGATGCATTCTACAGCCATGTAGGAGCATACATAACTTAGTTAATTAAAATAAAATTCCGAACACTTTATATGGAAATTAAATCGAACACCGTTCGTGACACCGATCCTTTGATATGCAAAGAAATATTGGTGTCTCGAGACAAATTACAAATTCATAGCATAGATTTAGGTGTTAATAGAATCGTTTTAACCGATAAGATAACATTATATTATGTGCATAGATCGTATTTGAAGTCCTGTTGGTTTTTCATTTGCCATAATATATAAAAATACATTTCTATGATCGCCTTTGCGAAAATTAGTAATGAATCCAAGACTTTAAAGTTAGGCTAGTCTTTGAAAGGTCAAAAAACCTATAATGTTGACGGGGTCCTAAGGAAACCTAAGGTTATAATCCCACTGGATATATATTAGTGAATCATGTTCTGATTTTCCTAAAGCATGTTAGACTTTGTCTTTTAAACTTTGTGTTCTGATATTTTGAATATTAAATAGTTAGTAGACTGACCCGCAGAGAACGCATCTTGCTTAAATAGTATAGACTGGAGCAGTTTACCTTTCGTCACATGAACTCCAAGCTTGCCTATTTCTATCTATGATAAAAAAAAATAGTGATGACAATTTGAAGACATCAAAACTCATACCATTTTTTTTTCAGAATAATTCAAAATGTTTCACGGAGGCCTTTTGTCTAAGTTGCGGGGTTTCTACAAGTGGTATGTTCTCGGTTTGGTGTCTGTGGGCTACATTTTGGGAGAGCTTGGACATTATCTAATAGGTGAGTTTTTTAAATTATTTTTATTATATTATTTATAATCTATACTAATATTATAAATGCGAAAGTAACTCTACTCAAATGGATTCATACAGGGGCGTTTACCAAAAATCTATCATCAGCATATAAGATACATATCTGATCATAGGACAAAACATTGATACTCTTAAATCATGGTATCAAGGTAGTTAATGAAGGTAATAATTATATGAGATAGATATAGATAGTCTGTGAAATCCTGTCTGTGGTCTTGAATCTTGGTATATAACCGATATTCCCGTAACAGGAATGAAAATGGTCAGAAATAACTCGGTTTATATCTCAGTTTTAGTTAGCCTTGACATTGGCCGCCCTTGAGGATAGAATGGTTTATAGGCTTCTAAAAACAACCAGTTCTACCTTTCATGTTACAACTCAATTAACACAAATTTTAACAAGATTCCAAGAGTTAGCAAAAAAAAGTATTAACGACGTTTTTTACCTTTTACATCACTTAAAGTAGTATACTGCTTTGGCTAGAATATAATGATTTGTATAAAACAAAATATACATAAAAAGTTTACATGCCTTACATTACGTGGTAAAAGCTTAACTTGAAGATGATTTGTTAAAACATTCTTCGAATAAAACTCAACTTCGTAAAAATACTTTTAATCTCGTCATTACTATTTATTAGACGTAATAACCCATAATATATAATTGTTTGTGTAATTAATAACTAAAAATAATATTAGACACTTTTTTAAGAGCAGTATTTTATATTTTTATTTTTTATTTCTTCTCGTTGGTTCCAGTAGTTTAGTTCTATAAATAAAATTGAGAAGATATCTGGATCACGTGAGATTTAACGTTCGACACAGTGATCCTAATCGCAGAGCATTCGGTCAAGGTGCGCATAATCATGTCGAAAATCTGCGCGTACACTTAATTTATTCCTTAAATGGCTAGATCCGGACTTAAGCTATGGGTACAATGAAAGATCTTATTTTAATACGTAAACTATTCCTGAACGATAGAAATATTTTTCAATTATTCTAGACACGCAAAACAATTGAAAAACGCCATTCTCGACCGATTGACACTGATGACTATCTTAAATGTTCAGCCTAAGTGTGTGTACTTTTATAAATTACATATGTGGACTCATAAGCATTTGAAAAAGACCGAGTGGCATACAAAAGACACAGCACTTCGTTCGTCGTGGGTTCTCATCCAATCTGTTTTATATATTTTAATTTCAAGTTTTAAATAATTAAAAAGTCAAAGGTCGGTTCACAATTACAGTAGCACAGATTGAAATGAAAAAGAGTTTAGCTTTGACCTGTATTAATCTTAATGAAATTAAAGTCCAAAATCATTTATTCATATAGCTAACTACACTAATGAACGTGTCATCAATTAAAACCTACTCGCCTCCACTCCTTTTAACGCCAAGTCTCATTACAATCACGTACTTTAAGTGCAATCATGAAACCTATTTTAAAATAGTTGTATTGAAATAATTTATTTTTTTCTAATATTTGTTATTTTGCCTGGTTACAGGAACAACTTCGAAAGTAACAGCGGACGATTTACACTACGGCGATAAATCGTGCATGCTGAATGCAACACACCTTCATTTGAGCCAACTTCCGGTTATCTGCGAGAAGGTCAACTCCAGCGAAATGTGAGTGTTGGCTTTTAAACCCTTTTTATCTACTCGTATATACGTGATACGCGAAAAAACTTTCTTAGAACTAATATTATTTAGATTGCTTACACGTTTGAGATTTAGACCAATTTTTACAAGTATTCCATAAATTCTTATGTGTCCCTTTTTATACATTAACCGTAAATCTATTTAGAAGCTATACGTTGTGGATATGCATATAAAGTTCAAAAATATATATCATCTAGTCTATTCTAGTTACTTTAACAGTGAAACTTTTAAATTCGATGTATTTATCGACAATAATTTGAAAATTTGCATATATTACTTGCTTATTAATTTATATATTAATTTCCAAACGTGATAAAACATAAAAGCAAACTAGCTTTGTATAACTAGCCAGGTGGCACATGTCTCTCTGATTAGTCACTTTACAGTATAACAATGCAACCCTTCATATCTATCTATGTTAAGTCAATCTTTTAGTCACGGCTTTGTTTGGTAACCTGAACAATATGCTTTGTAATACCAAAATCAAAAGATAGGACAATACTTCGGGTAGACCAGGCTATGATTAAGGAGGACAGACATGGTATGACATGATGGTAGGTGATATACCATTTTTAAAAGCGCTGTCGACCGCTGTGGTATTTTGGCTTATTTTAGATATTCGAAAATCCACAGACTGAAACCGAAACGCGATTAGGCTTTACGGCTTTTTCGTCTGTGGGTGGTGTAGGTCGTGACTCGAAGGGAAACTTCTATATTCTTACCAGTCATTTATTATCCAGGTTGAATATTAGATACTGTCTATAGTTTACGCGAGTAGTACACATTTAAATAAAACACTTTTACGGTTTTAAACGCGATATTTTTGTTTGAAGTGATTTTTAACTTCGGCCCGACGTTTCCGATGCTTTGCAGCAGCCGTGGTCACGGGGTGACTGATCATCATTTTCAAATAAGTTTAACTAATATATCGCGTTTTGAACCGTTAAAGTGTTTTATTTAAAAGGTTGAATATTTCCTTTCGAACTCGTGAAAAATGAATTGTATCGGTAGCTCCATTAGAACGTGAAGGAGCGACAGACAAATGCAATAGTTAAAACAAAGTAACGCCTACGCTTTGAACAGGAAACATATAATATCAATAATTCATGAATGCCAATACCCAAGCAATTAGGTACAATTTAATCAATATTGTAGAATTTGCATAAGGAATTTCCGCGTTCGAATTTACATAAATCGTTATTCCCTGCTCCCTGTTATATTATTATAAAGTTAATCCGTTAGTTTTGGTCAAAAATAATGGTTACTAAGACATTTTTATGTTGGGTATCCTCTTTAGAGATTAATTAATTAACTAAATTAGAGATTAACGTTGGCGGTTATACAATTTCGATAGGTATGGTAATTTTAGCAAATGAGAGCGTAATGATAATAATCAGAATGTTAAAATAGAACACTTTTAACAGTTTAAAACGCGAAAAGTATAATGTGGTGCAGCAGTCGTGGACACGTTCCCCCGTCCACTATGACGGCGACATAGCATACGAAACGTCGGGCGTCGTTGCCTTTAACTAATTGTTAACCAGCACTTAGTTAAATTGTATATTTCAAGTTTATGGTAAAATGCAATAAAACTATGATATCATAAAGCAACGTCCTTAATGATGATTGATGCACCAACATAGCTCAAGAGATCATCGCAATCAAAAGATACTAAACCTGCTTATTGCTTACATCACTTATGTGCATAATATATACTTTTGTGGCTGGCTCTTTAATCTTACAATATATCAATAACTATCGGTTCGTAGATCCGATTCAATATTGTCTGTAGTTTATGCGAGTAGTACACATTTAAATAAAACATTTTAACGGTTTAAAACGCGATATTTATTAGTCAAACTTATTTTAAGTACAGCCCGACGTTTCGGATGCTTTGCAGCAGCCAATTAGATTTTTTTATTATCTAGGTATGCTTTTACCACTTAAGTTTAAAAAGAAAGAGTGAGACGGAGATATGAGGTAGGAATACTATTTCGTTTGGACACGCCACACATTGCTAATTAACGTACTACCTGGAATTAAAAATCTATTACTGAAGCGGACACACATATAGTTTTTTATGGCATACGCAATTAAGACATAATTATCTCGTGTTTCTACATGGCTAAGATACAATCTTTACAACGATAGAAAGAAATATATCGGAATCATAGGTAGGATAAAAGATGCTTTTAAATAAAACACTTTAACGGTTTAAAACGCGATATATTAGTTAAACTTAATTGAAAATGATTTTTAACTTCGGCCCGACGTTTCGGATGCTTTGCAGCAGCCGTGGTCACGGGTCTCCCCGTTTATCTAATATATCGCGTTTTAAACCGTTAAAGTGTTTTATTTAAATGTGTACTACTCGCGTAAACTATAGACAGTATTTAATAAAATATGCTTTCAAAAATTATGTCTTTGTTAAACATGTTAGACGTTGTCTGACGTCGGAAAATCAGGATATTATAAATATGTACCAGAAATGGGTAAAAAGTCCAAAGCTAAAATAGATTTACAGCATATCTTAGAACGCTATGTGTCTGCTTTTTATGGAGTAATAGAATGGAGGTAATTTTATGTGTATGTACGTTATCGTTAATTCGTAACAAAATGTTTCTATTAAGTGTTAAATAGTCACTTACGCTTAAAGTATTTTCAATTGTACAAGATTAATGCCATCACACGATACCGACAATAGATATAAATGTACTCGAATTGTAGACTTCAAAGCGGCGATAAATAAAGCTGAGATCAAATTGACTAGACAAAGTACATGTAACCACAATAATTTAATACCCATCATCTTTATGTCCCCCGTGACCACGGCTGTTGCAAAGTATCCGAAACATTGGGCCGAAGTTAAAAATCATTAACACACATTTCGCGTTTTAAACCGTTATAAACGTGTTATTTATACAATAGTTATGTTTTTGAGGGGGTATAGGGATTATGAGTGACTGCATAAGATTATACTTATTTTTTAATATTTAATAACATCGGTCAATCGATATTTCATAAGTGTATAATGTTTGCGTTTTAAACCATTAAAATTTGTTTTGCTCGTAGATTTAAGTTATTTATTTCTCATATCCATTACATGGTAACAAAGCATTCAATAGATTTTTTACAACAAATGACCGTAAAATTACCCTCTGTTAACGTAAAGACAATTACTGTCGCGTTGCTAAGTTAATTTTGTATCGCCAAGGTTACAATCACTGCTTAATTTATAGTATTAAATATATATTCAAGAACCAATCTGACCGCAACCGTAACTCAATGGCTGAACGTATTGCCACTAAGCAGGGAAAATTCGGGTTCGAAGCCAGGAGAATCAATACATTGTTATGCTCGGGTAAGGCGCGTAAGTCTAAGCAACTACTTACCCGTAATTAAAATCAGTGAAGCAGACACAGAAAACTGTTTGCTCCATGCACCCGATATATTGAATCTTAGCATTGTAGTTTTTGAAAAAAAATCGTAAATAGCAGTTAAGCGTGATAAAACTATTTATTTTTAGGTTATTAGTTTAAAAATGTATTTAGCTTGTACCAAAAAAAATCTGAACACGAAATCACAGATTAATTCTTGATTTTATTAAATCAAAATTTATTATTCTACCCACACTTTTGTTTGACGAACTCCTTGGTGTAATAGAAGCAATGTATAATATCAGTATAATAATATAATTCTTCTGAAACGTACGACAACACATCTTGTTGAGAAATGATATGACTGTGATATTTCCTACGCTTACCATCAAGCGAATTCTATTATTGCCTGTCTTCTTTTATCAAAAAACAAAGCAAACGGAAAAATAACTATTTTCTTACTAGATGTATGTGGAAGGCAACCACCGACATAGACTACGCCGATTTTTAGTGTTGTCCCACGTTTGACATTGTAGAAGAGAATACGTACTCGCGTACACATTTAAATAAAAAACTTTAACGGTTTAAAACGCGATATATATCAGTTAAACTTATTTGAAAATTAAAACGTTTAAGTGATTTATTTAAAAAATTGTATAAGAGAATTTTGAAATTGATTAATACACAATATAATTTAAACTTTCAGATGCGAGTCGCTGTCCCTGAACGGAACGTATTATTGCGAATGGGGCTACAATGGTCTAGGAATCGACTATCAAGTGCTCGCCGGACCAGCTTTCATGGCTGTCTTTACTGTTGTGGGCGTGATATTAGGCGTAGTCGCTGATAAGTAAGTATTAATGATTTGACTTTGTAGAGGAGGCCTAGGTCTAATGAGAAGAGGCGCAGCTCCACATTAATAGGTTGATACAGTAATTAATGTTAAATTTAATAACTATGTTCATATTCCTTTATATTCAAATGAACAATGGACACATACTTCAAATAACTTCGAGTCGTGCTTTGTATAATTTTTAATCTAGTTTTAATTTAACTTACAATAAATCAATCACTTACAAAGCTTTTTAATCGTGTCCGTGAGGGCTAAATTTAGAATCGTGCATTCTATTAGTTGTAATTAAATCGTGAATGTATTTAACATTTAAAAATATTACCAACTGCATAATAAGCTTGTATATAAATTGATATTTTTTTCAACTTGAATGTATTTCGATATTATCACTACTTGTACAATACTTGCCATTCTAAGTAGTAAAATAATATATAATTAATTGTATACAGTTCAGAGAAAAGTAGAAAATATTGAAATAAAAATGTGTCTATTCGATTCTTATTTTTATTATATGTTGTAACTGTTTTTATAGAAATATACTTCGAATACACAATTAATTATATTATTAAACTACGACCTATCTACTATTTCTACAATGACTATAAGTATGTATCTGTATTAGTATTATAGTATATACATAGTATTAATTAAGTGTTAACTTTAGAAATAGAAATTTGATCAAAATCTGTTAAGTCGTTTAGCGGTAAAAGAACGAGCACCCATGCATTCTTTCCAGCTTTATAACATTAGTATACGTTAATTAACTCATCCTTCTTTCCAGGTACAACAGAGCACGAATCCTCTCCGCGTGCACCCTGGTCTTCGTGGTCGCCATTCTCATGATGGGCAGTGTCACAGAATACTGGCACCTGGTGATATTGCGGATGATAATGGCCGCTGGAGAATCTGGTTGTAACCCATTGGCGACTGGTATCTTGACAGACCTATTTCCTGAACATCAGAGGGCATTAGTGCTTTCCATCTTCAACTGGGGAATATATGGAGGTTATGGTATCGCTTTCCCGGTTGGAAGATATGTGCCTACTTTGAATGCTTGGGGTTTGGTAAGTGTTATTCTGTCCACTACATATCGATCTCCGATAAATCAAATGTTTGCTCTTTCGTCTTTAACTTAAGAAACTAGTGATTAACTGAGACATTTTTCATTGAATGTGTAGAGCTGGCGTTTATGCTACTACAGTGCTGGAATCGTTGGGCTGGTTATAGCCGCTTTTACCTTCCTTACTCTTCGGGAGCCAGAAAGAACAACCATTGGAGAAGAAGGTAAATAGTTTATACTAATGGTGTCTTTTGTTGTAACATTGTTAGCAATAGTTTCTAATACGGAGTCTTAAAGTAAAAGCAAGTCGTTCGGGATTCTGTGGGTAATGGGGACAAAATTAAAATTCTATTTAAAGAAAAAACTACGACATGAGTGGGACTTGAGCCCGCGTCCATAGCGTTTCGTGCTGCTCAATTGTCCAATTGTAGCTCAAGCCATTTTTAAATTTGTGTTTGCCAATGTCCTCCGCATCTTTATAAAATCATAGCTTTATAACATTAGTACAGATTTATAACATAACCCACCTAATCAATTGTGAAAAATATTAAAGTTTTTCAAGTTTCCATTGACTAGTCGTTTTATTTTAATATTCTATGTCGTTTTATTACTACAGGTGCCGGAAACGCGAAGCCAGCAGACAGTTTGGAATCAGGCAAGAAAATGCCACAAGTGACAATCTGGCATGTAATTGCTCAACCCAGAATTATCTTGTTGTGCTTGGCCGCCTCTATAAGACATTGCGGTATGATTATAAATTATTTCTATTGTCTAAATAATATGTACATCTACTATTAGCTAGGTGTACAAAGATCCCAGTACATAAAGGAAAAATCGGACCCTCGTATTTTTTTGCGTAGCTTGAACTTTAATTAGCCTGGGAAAACTGTAGATGGAATCAAGAACAGTTCATTAAAAAAACTTATTTTTCTCTGTTTACGCTTATGAAGATGATAAAGATGATGTTAGAGGGCCCTAAGCTCCTAGCCCTAAGGTCTTGGTGCACAGCTTAACCTGGCCCTACGATAACTACGCCACTCTATACGAGTATATACACCGCACGAAAACTATTAAGACATAAACAATAAGTAAACCTGATATACAAAACCAAATGTAGAATTTTATAAAGCATTAAAGGACCGACAGAGATTTATTTGGTTTATTACCAACACCAACCGCGCGGAATGTACATTTATTGGACTCGTTTACCTTTTAGTTGGTACTCATAATAATACTGTTTTCTCACATCTACAGGTGGTATGACGTTTGCGTACAACGCTGACTTGTACTACCGCGATTACTTCCCCGACGTAGACCTGGGCTGGTGGCTGTTTGCTGTCACCGTTGGCATTGGATCGGTTGGCGTCGTTGTGGGAGGAGTAATTTCTGACAAGTAGGTTGATTATAAAAAATTATTGATCTAAGACTTCATTATACTTTTCTTCATTTTTATAAACTAAAGCTGACCACGACATCGGTCGCGTCCCATCCTTCTTGCAAATATATATCTATCTTTTAAAATTAAATATAGATGTATACTGTCGCGGACATTTTTATAGATCGCCTAAAGAGGAATAATTCTTTCATAACCATTTTTATCTATTCCATGTTGTTCAAATTCAACAAGTGCGTTATTTCCAGGTTCGTGTCTCGCATGGGTGTTCGGTCACGCGTGCTAGTTTTAGCGCTATCACAATTGATTGCCACTCTTCCCGCCTTCGGCTCTGTTGTCTTTGGTCCTCTGTGGGCTATGATCACTCTTGCTTTCTCCTACTTCTTTGGTAAGTGTTTAGCACCATAGACTAAAATTATTACCATTTTAGCATGCAACTATTGCTATTTGTAGTACGAGTCCCGTATCTGTGAAGTTCATTTTTTCAAATATCACTTTGAGGGTATTCAACTTGACTAATATTGAATTATATAAACTTTTCAGCTGAAATGTGGTTCGGTATAGTATTCGCTATCCTAGTTGAGATCGTGCCACTATCCGTGCGATCCACAACCGTTGGTGTATTTCTATTTGTCATGAACAATGTTGGAGGGAATCTCCCGATTTTGGTCGACCCCGTGTCTAAAGCTATCGGATATAGAGAAGCCATTATGATATTCTACGCTGGCTTCTATGGAATCAGTAAGTAACTGATAGAAAAATTTTCTACGCTCAAATTTATGTTTTTTCTACAGAGTAGGGTAATTTTTTATTACTTTTAAACGTTGTGTATGGTTTAAAAGTCAATGGACAAATGGGAGCCTACTAAAAAAGTCTTGGCAACGATATATGTATTATAATTACGAGAGAGAGAGAATTATAAGAGAATGTCAGGTTCACATCTAGCATTTCCTTACTACCATTTAATACTGAAAGACAAACATGCTTTTTAAGTTATTTTGATATAATATTTAACCTTTCACCAACAGGTAGCATTCTGTTCTTTATAACGATGTTCTTCATGGACGGCGCAGTGGAGAAGCCAGAAAACAAACAGACGAACGGCCTTGACAATTCCGCTTATATCCACGACGAAACCAGACAAAGACAGGAAGCGAGACTGTAAGGATCAACATTTGGCTGGTTGAAGTAGTTTTTAGCAACACGAAGTGCATGAGGACTATAAGTGATTTTGTCTTAACTTACGCAAGAGTTTAATTTTGTGGCGCTGCGTTTTGTTCACGACTGTACCTGTGATTGAAAGCTAACAGATGCGAGATTATTGAAAGCGGGTTTGAATCGGTTGCATTTTTGTAAGACATCACAAACATTTATAGCCGCACAGATTATCCAGTCGTTTTTTTAAGTGAAACATTACGCGTTATATTTATTTGTAGACTTATTTCTTGAAGCCATTTAATTTTTTTATTAACTCGACTAAATATCTAGTTTGTTTAACTTTTTAATTAATTTCTAAATAAAGCAATGGGGTTATGTATCTTGGGTTATATAAACGAAAAAGTTTTTTTAAAGATTTCTTTTCAAGATATAATTAAATTAAATTTATTTGGCTTCAAGAAAGTTGTCGGCTGTTATAAGTATTTTGCCTTCTGAAGATGTTCATTCTTGAAGTGATATTACACCGTTCCTTTAATTAGTTTTAAGGCATGTTTTTAGTTAGTATTTAAGATTAATGTTCAATGTTGTTAGTCTAATGTTATTTTTTGTATTTATTTAGATAACAGGACAAAAAAATTACAATATTATGGACCTAAGTTTAAAAATAGCGGTTTTTTTTATTCCAAGATACCTTCAGTGTTAAATATTTAAAATGAAAACCCAGTGATGGTTTTATCACTATAGATTTACTGTTATATTGTGTGAATATCGACATAGGTTCTATCAAAAAAATGACTTTAAGGTAAATCATACGAGTTTAATGTATTGAAAAGTATTCTCAGTACCTGTGTAGTTACATCAATAGACAAAACCTATATTTATATCAAGTAATATAAATCCACTAGCATTATTTATTTTATTTACTGTCTTTTTATTAACTGCCAGTGTATACAGGTCCCACAAGAGCTATATTGGAAAATTTTATGTAAATATTGTACTAGCTATATTTTTATTCCTGAATATAAAACGTTCATTGGTGTTATCATAAGTACTAATATATAAGTTACCAACTTAGTAGAGACAGCTAAGTCCAAAAACAACATGTATATAAACAGATTGCCAATTTTTTACATTTAAACTATCTGACTATGCTCTTGTTTTTAGTTAACTTAGCCAAAACCATCAATTGACATTAGATTTTGTATTGGACATTCAAATTTTTCATGTACAAATTACAATATTAAAGTGCAGTTACTTGTGATAACATTTGTAAATATTTATTTAAGAGATGTGTAAATAAATCCATATCACAATAATCATTTTATTTTTATGTATATGTATACATGAATATAAATCTAGTGTTGGAGCTAGGACCCACCTAACTACCTAAACTCATGTTGACTTCAATGCCGACTTTTACATACTTCTATTCTATAGCAACCAGAACACCATTTCCATTTGACTTGTATTTAAAAAGTTTTTCTTTTCGGCGTGACTTCCAACATTTAGTTTCTTCTTTAGATAACACATACTCTCCGCTAACTGCTACTGATTTTAATTTTTCTGAAATATGACGTTAATTATATTAATTTCGTAAAAGGCTAAACTTCAAAACTAATATTTTTCAAATAAATATAACGGATCAAACCTAGTAAAGTCAGTCTGTTTATTTAAAAATTACTCTAGGCTTAAGCTCAGCTCTCTTGCCCATTACTCAATTTATTTAAACATTGAGTCAGCAAACAAATGTGAAATCTATTAAAAAGGATTGATTTACGAAAAATGCATATTTGTACATACCCTCATCAATAATTTCATTTGATGTTTTTTTCTGTTTCAGTTTTTTAGCCTTTATATTATGTGACTCCGTTTGTGTATCATCAACTTCTGCACAAGTAAGAAACTCTTCTGAAGTACTGAAAAGTTTAACTCCACCTTTAATTTTTCTTTTACTGCAAAGGAAATAGGAAAGATCAGGTCGCCGACATACTTATATTATAATATAAAAAAATTGGTCCAAATAGGAATAAATATTAAACTTTAAGGAAAACTCTGTATTGAAATTTTGTTTACCAATTGATCTCAATCTGTCCATATTTTACATAAACGAAAGCATACAGTAATGCATACTTATAATTACTAGCTCAATAGGATATAGTAACAAACTATATCTAAATATAGACTATATAAATAAATATAAACTATATAATACATACAACTTCCTCGGTTCTACTTCCACAAACTCAACATTTTTATTAATAATAGTGGAAATCTTTTTGGCAATTTTTATTTGTAGATCTTTTGGAACTTTAACATCATTGTAATGAGATGCTTCATCTAAATATCTTTCTGACTTCTTTTTCGATTCTGAAATAAACTTAGGTGTAGTCACTCTAATTATAACAATAAAATATAACAGAAAAAAAATTAAGATACAAGTCTCAGCACCTTTGGAGGTCTTGTTGGTTATTTTAACATTGTTAGATTCTTGACTTATTTTAGCTATAAAATTTGTGTCCACTGCTTCCTTAAAGCGAGACAAATCTTCTTCAGAAGAATCAGAGTCTGCCATGGTTAATTAGTAATGTAAATTCTGTTTTTTATATGAATTTGTTTGTTTTCTCATTACCCGGCAATTATTGTAATATGTCAGTTATTTTTGACATTTCAACATTTTTATAACACAACAGTGATACGTGTATTTTTATTTGAATTACAGACAACGTCCCACACTTGCTTAATCTGTTCCTTTAATACATATCTGTGTTCATTGTGTTTACATTATTATCTAGAACTAAAAGCAGTGCATAAGATAATTACAGAAAATTGTAAATTCCTTGCTAAATGAACCATATATAATTAATGTTAAACGTGAAGTGATTGGAAGTGAACCTAAGACAATGACTGAATATACGAAGCCACCTCATGATAAAGACTTAGTGAATTTCACTCAGAAAAATGATTATGACTCTTTAGCTAAATACCTTATAGGAAATATTTATAGATATCGAGAAAATATAATTATACCGAGAGTATTAGGCCCAGTTATCATTAAAACAAATGAGGAGAAAATGATAGAGTCTACAGTCGAGAGTTGTCCTTTTAAATCGTTAAGCAGTTGTGTTATAGGTTAGTTTATATAGTGCTGTTAAACTACATTACAATATATTTTAAAGTTCTATCTCGGAAAGTAGATTTTACCTATTTGATAATATCTATAGATATATTTTATAGGATATGGTCTCGGTCTTGCTGTTGGTTTATTCACATCCTCCCTGATGCCAAATATGACGGACCCAATGGCACAACAAAATCAAACAGCTAGGGAGATTTTGCGAGAGATGAAAAATTCCATGTTGAGTTATGCTAAGAACTTTGCTATACTTGGAGCAGTGTTCTCTGGAGTGGAATGTTGTATAGAGACCGCTAGGGGGAAATCAGATTGGAAAAATGGTACATATGCTGGAGGTGTTACTGGAGGACTTATTGGCTTAAGAGGTATGTCTACCCATTGTTCAATACTAATACATGTGTTATTAATAAACCTAATTCACTATACATAACTTCTATTTAACATTTTGATTTGTTAATTGAATAGATATTTTAGTAAGAGGTAAAACTTTCTTTTAAGAATAAATACATATTTACTCTTCTTTTTCAGGAGGATTAAAAGCAGGCATCTTTGGTGCTGCTGGATTTGCTGCATTTTCTACTATTATTGATTACTATATGCATCAACGTTAAACGACCTATGAATGTTGAAACATCCATGTTATATTTATTAAGTATGTAAATAGATTTGTTATTGTTATTTGGCTTGGAAATTATTGAAAATGCAGCAGGACTTCGGTTTCCTCACTTATCAAGCTATGCCAATAAAATATAGAAGTTGTAGGAAGAAGAATTAGTAATATATTAACTATATGTACAACGTTTTATTTCATTAATGGTCACCTTCTTGAAATACATTTCTTAAACATGAATTTCACTAGTTCTAGGAATTTAGGCAAAACTGCCTTGCAGTATACACAATAAATCATATTCGGTGCACCTAACCAAGCCGCAGATTACTTTGAATGCACTGAGCAAGTAAGATAAATATATCAACAATTGATAACAGATTTTTTGTGTCTAAAGAAAAGGAATGCAAGAAGAATGTGCCCCTGACATTTTTTTTTAAATAAATTATTTCACCGTTTCGTCTGTTGCAATTATTCACATGAATTTTTAATTGATTATATATTAGATAAAAGTGTGATTCATAAAATGTTTTGAATGATATTATATTATCCTACTCTATGCACTGCGGCGGTCCAAGCCGAGGCCGATGCCCCCCTCGGGGCACCCTTGGTCTAGCCGTAAAACACGGCGAGCGCTATCGCGCTCGCCCTAAACGCCCGGTTAGTATTCGTGGCTCCTCGGGAACACAATACGGAAAAGTCAATCCAAAAAAAAAAAAAACTCTATGCACTAGGGACTATCACAATTATTATCGATTCGATTAAAGTCACAGACAATAGACGTAACGAACGTCATTGTCAAAAGCTACGCTCCACTGCCCACAGTCGTTGGTGTTAAAATTGGTTAAAAAAAATAACGGCAGAAAACGGAAAGTTGGACGCGTCGAGAAGTGTTATTTAAAAATATAGATTTCTTAAATATCATGAATTAAACAGCGTAAATTTTGTAGTTACACATTGACGCGATAACGCGTATTTATCGTTAAAGTACGAATTAAGCGCGTCCAAATAGAAAATCGCTCAAAATGAAGGATCCCTTTGTCACGGAGTCTTTTATCGATTCGCCTTCACGAGAAAGTAAGCATGTAGATGGGTGCTATAGTAAAAATGTCTTGAAAAATAAGTCCTTCCTGAATTCACGACGGGCATTGCAGTCTGGTGCTGATAAAATTTCCAGAACGTTTAAGAATATGCGGAGTACATTTTGCGATCTATCTCAGGTAATTTAATATTTTTCTATCCGTTATATTTCTTTATTTCTTTTAGTACCTTTTAAAGAAGTTAAATTTTTAGCATTTCAGGTTAAGGAGTAAAAGAAGACATCGTCTAGCAGAAACCGGGTCCCCCTGTAGGACTCCTTGCACCCCTGTTACTAAGAAAAAACAGGTAATTTTAATAACTTTCATTATTAAATCATTAAATAAGTTTATTGGAACACCTATAGGTCAAGATACTTTGCTATGTAACATAATCGTATAAATAGAAAATAACTAAGAATATACAAGTTCTTTATTTGTAAAAATATCTATGAACCATCTTTAAATTAAATCATAAGTTATTATTATAAACAAATATGATGATAAAAAGGCATGTAATCTAATATGTATTATTTTTCCAGCTACTAGGCCGTAGCCCTACTAAGCTCTACAGTCCATTTGGTATTGAGACACCAAGAAACAAAGACTTCCGGATCTCACCTTACATGCCAAATACACCTGAACATGAGTAAGTATTTCACATAAGATGGTAACAGTATAATGTAAAAATCACTCGCATATAAACTGAAAACTGGCTTTACCTTAGCTAGCCTATTACAAATATGATACAGAAGGATGTATTTTAATGCAATACTACTAAAACCTACTAATTAAGTGTTTACTTTACTGAATAATTTTGTGAATTTTCCCAAATTACCAAATAATAATTAATGCTGATATGTTTGTTCCTAACATAAATGCATGGATCAAATTCCAAAAACTATTGTATTGTAACTATTGAACTATTGTTACACATAATATTATCTCCATGGTTTAATCCTAAAAATACTCTTTACAGTATGTCACCGAAGCAGCGCAAAGGTCTCATCCATTGGCATCTCTTGGGTAAAAAAAGACCAAGGGCCCTTTTTCAATAATTCTATATTCTATTATTCATATATTTTACGCACAAATTTACCCACCGCTTAGTGTTAGCCTTGTATCCAAGAAGTATTATTTATAATATGTGATTGGTGCTATTTGTGATTTGAGGATAAGCTTTTCAAATAACATTTGGTAAAATAATGTTAATTGAAGTTGTTTTTGAGATTTAAAATGTTGACTGGATTAAATATTGTGGAGATTGTGATAAACAATATTAACTAAACGGTTCTTAAATATTGTTTATTTCTAAAAGTTAAACATTACTGCAAACATTCCTAAATTCTGGTAAATAGTGAATAAAGCTCAAGTAATGTAAGTGTGGAACTGGTTTCCTATAAAACTTCCTCTTATTTAAGGGAAAATTTTATCTGCTAATTATGTTGTAATATTACTGAGGCTACAGTATATGTACAGTAATTCTTTTGTACTATAATTAGTTCCAATTTCACAGAGTAATATTGAGATCGAATTAACTTAACCAACAATATTCTTAAAGTGAAATCTGAAACCAGTGGGCTCAAATTAGATATATTAAATTATTTTAAACTTTGAACGTATAAGTACTTAATGTACATATTCATGGCACTGCCTAATGAACAATAATAATTATTCATATCCAGTATTAGATATGCCAAAATATATTCGCATTGTGTAATCCTAGTAATTATAAGATTCTGAAACGCTTTTGTGACAATATAAACAATTTATACCAGCTTCATTAATTGTAAAGTTCGTGGTTTGGTTGTAAAATATATACAACTGTCTTAATTTTTTTTAAGATTCGGAACTGAAAAGGAATTTTGTGGAGAAATCTCTAGATTACTAACTACTGGTAGTAGGCCAGAAGACTGATAGACTGACGGCTAAAATAAAAACTGTGTACTAAAGATGTTGTTTTTAGAGGAAGATTTTTTGAAGGTTTTACAAATAATTTGTTTCAAGGTACCAAAACCATAACATTTAATATCATAATCTGTATATGAAGCGGTCATTGCGATCTGTCGTTATTGAGAAATAGTTTTCGACGTTAATCGTGGATTAGCAAATGTTGCGCGTTTTCGAATAACTGGGGACTGATTTCTAAATTACGACCGCCGACCGGATCAAAAACTAAAATTTAATTTAATTTCTGATTTACAGTGTAATGTATTTAAGTTTTATAATAAGCTTGAAAAGACGTAACTAATTGATGCTACTTGTATTTAATAAATTTTTTACTTGCATCACTGTGTTTATGTTATCTTGTCTCGTGGATTAATTAAAAGAAAAAAACATATTATGAAAAATATTTATTAAATCTCACTATTATTAATATTGATAAAGTTACACTTTAGTATATTTCAATGACGCAGCTGAGATTACAACTTGGCAACAAAATAGAAGCTTTTCTTGTTAGTAACTGCTTAAATTACGTAATGCTAGAAAAATATGTCTTAAGGCACATATGGTATGTATATATTATACTTATAATATTCATATTCATGTAAATGCTCTTTAACATAACAATTACTTTACGACTAGTCATATTGATAGGTAATATACATAAACACACAGTTACAAGAAAAAATATAATCTAAAGTGAGCATGTTTGTGAACGTTTTTTTAACTACCCGCAGAGTTACCAGTGTTTTTCAAACACTGAAAGTATTACTCAAGTCTAAAAAAAGGTAACTATTTAACTTTATTTCTTGTCCGCGCTATCGGAAAAAATAGGAAAATGTAAGTATATATAGCCTTCACATAAGTAAGCCAAGGTAGATTTCTTAAAATCCTAACAATAGTTTTTCGATTGAGACAAAACTACGGGACAAGGCTACCCCTCGGTTTACAACGAAATGTAAACTAATTTGGTATAAGATTATAATAGAAAATCTTTTCCGCGGATTTAAAAAGTCGACATTTTTGATGCAGCAAGCAACACAGAACATTTCAATATAGCTTACCCTGTATTTAGTATTTATTTATTGTATTGGTGATTTTTGAACAACGGACATAATCGGGGATACGATAGATTTTCGTTACTCGAATCAGACGAAATAGAAATTCACTATAAATAAAAATAAAGTCACTCTATCTTATATATTTTCACGTAGAGCCCTAAATTCAGTTATGTATGAAATAATCGTCTAACTTTGGACATACTTAAGACCGGTAACTATAGAAGTAACAAATTGCCATTAAGTAAGAAAGCAAGAAAGTCATTCTATGTCGCTACTTTAATATGTCCGTTCGTAAAAAATCACTAATATACATATTATATTTATTTTTTATATAGGTACAACATTGAGGGAACAGAAGAGTTGTTTTACTCTACAAACATTATTTCCAAAATCACAACACCTATTTTTTTAGTGTAGAGGATATATACGTTTCATTATTTTTGTCTTTTACGCAAAGAAAAAAGAAGTAAAAAAAAACATTTTTCAAACCAAACAAGAATGAACAATGCACTTAACCTAAATTAACTTTGAACCTACATACTATATCCAGGACCAGGCCTTCGTGGAAAATTCTGCAAAGGAGAAAAATAATACATCTTATTATAATACGGTGACAACAGGCTCGTTAAATAATGATAATATACTAGCTGTGCCTGCGACTCTGTCCGCTTGGAATAGTGACTTCTGGCAGAATTTGTAATTATTTAGGCTGTTTATTAATTAATGTAAGGGTGCATTTAAGGCAGCCAATCTATGTTGTAAGTGCTACTTTGCCGCAACACTCTCACCTCATATCACTCCTACACTCACTCCCACTTCCACTCCTATTTCCAAAAAGCCCAAAGAGAAAGTTTCCTTATTCTAGCTTCAGAAACCACGAATTTTCATACAATCTTTCATCCCCTTTTTCAACTTCTATCAACCTTTTTTTGGCATTAAAAAGTACCCTATCTCCTTTCTCTATTCTCAGGGTCTAGACCACCTGTATACCATTCAAATTCGTTCAGTAGGTTTGGCGTGAAAGAGTAACAGACAGAGTTGCTTTCGCATTTATAATATTAGTAAGGATAAAGCGGGCTCGTTGAAGTAATGTTAACAATGTATGACTTTATAATCTACTTATAATTTTAGTTTATTTCTTAAATCAATTTATAATGTGCTTCAGCAATTTGGATATTAAATGGCTGGTAGAAATATCGAAATTCCAACGTCCAATTAGTTACTGGCAATTAGTTAATTCTTCTTGCCAGAAATGGAAAAAGAAATACGTGTTCTCTCTCAGTCTGTGGATTCTCGATTATCCAGAGCCTAAAATAGGTTCGTAACGCTTCATCTTCCATGATGTCAAAAAAAGGTTTAATTCGTCATTTTTTGTATCCACGCTACCAGTTAGAAACACTGAGCGGATCCTAATAATTTTTCTGGATAATTTTTTGACACCACAAATCGACTTTATAGGGTTAGACTTACCGTCCGTAGCCTTGGAAATTTTGTATTATAACGACTACCACGCCATCTAGGTCCACGGTTGCCGAGACCCCTCTTAAAGAATGAATCATAATATATTGGCGAGTCAATACGCTCTGGTCTTTTATAGGGAGAGAAGTCCGCAACGGGACTATTCCAAATAGTATTCAAACCGCTTGGACCGGGTAAACTCTGCGGCGGCAATAATAAATTGGCTTGTTCTTTCCTCAGCACTTCAATGTTAAGGCTTTTTGTCTGAAAATTATTTATTACTTGTTTGTAGATTCTTGTGAACTCACATCTCACTTTGAGTAACTACTCAGTGAGAGAATGTTAAATTGTTTCTATTTATGGCTATATGAAAATTTCGAGGTAATTCAGAATATAAATTCCACCTTTTTAACTTTGTATTATTGACATTTGTATGTCAGTATCTATTGCAAACATTCTGAATGTGAATTTCACTTAACAGTCTAAAAATACTTACTGAATTGTCAAGATTGGTAGTATCTGGGGAATATCTTATGTTTTTGTCCAAACTGTCCTGGTTATCTTCCTGGCTCTCCATGACTATTGGCGAAAGGGACGCTTTTAATCTTAAAAACTCGGAATACAACTCCTTGTTGGCACCAGATAGCTGCCTCTCAAAGTGTCCGAGGTTCGCGTTCGACAGTTCTAAGGAATCTGTTCTTTTCATCATTTCAATAATGGCGCGCACTAAACCAAACTCGTAAGGGAAAATGCATACTCTTTCCAAGATTTGACTGGTCAAATTACTCTTAAACGTTCTATTACCGCGGCACATAAACATAGTTAGATTTATAAACACTGTCCTAAACCTAGAAAAGTTTTGAGACTTTCCGATAGCTTCCAAAAACTTTTCACAAAGTAAGACACCCGGTTGTGCTTCGAACCTCAGTAAGTCATTACACATATTTAGATCGATTTGATTCAAATGCAACAATGTCTGTTCTACTGCTTGCGTCGCTAAGAATTTCTCGGTTGCCGAAGTTTCAAAATTTTGTATGAAATCTATTGACATTTCCACTAATATCCTAGAGAGATTACGCCGCATACAATCCTGAACGAAACACAGTCCATATAATTGTAGCAAACGTGGAGTATTCCGTACCAACATGTACTCTTGTATGAAATCTTCATTGGATAGTCCAAGGAGTTTTGCATTAATAAAACTTGGAGGTAAAGAGGTATGTGGGAAGATACAGGTAAATGTACTATTTTTACATGTATTCACTAAATTGAATACACAAACACCTTTGAATATTGTTGATTTGACAAGTTCAGTTGCCTTAAAGAGTATTTTCATAAGGTATGGATTTTTTGAGACAAAACTATCCATAGCTTGAGCAGTTGATGTTTTATCTGTATTTGTAAAATCTTGAAAAGACGTGGAATCTGGCTTTTGCTCTTCACATACTAAACTTGGAAGAGATTTATTTTTGACCTTGGATGCATTACATGGTGCTTTTGGAATTTTAAAAACCCTTGTCGTCACAGGGTCGGGTTCCTTAATATTATTTTCTACATGATTTGTGACTGATATATTGTGAGAACTCCTTTGACTGGATTCAATACCTGTAATACTTTCGGCGTAAAGAGAAAGTGCGTCGTCATCTTCATCGTTCTCAGCATCAAGATCTGTTCTATTTTTAGTATCATTCTCTGTTTCACATTCAGTTGACTTACATTCATTAACTATCGCGGTTTCACTATTCGTATTTGTAGTATTGTTATTGGCAACATCATTATCCATATTTAAGTTGCCTGGTTTAAACTTTTGTGAGAAGGAATCTTTTCCCTCTTTTTCTTTTGCGGTTTTGTATTTTGATAGAAGGTTCGTCAGACCATCATAGTTTAGAATCCGCTCTTCTTCTAAAAATATGTTTTCTTTTACAACTTTTTTGTGAAACTCATTGTATACTAATTCGTTCTTTGGACCCACTAACATTGGTGGTGGTCGCCTCCAACTTAAAATATTGAAATCGTAATTTTCTAAGAACTTCAATTTCTTTAGAGCTGTAAGACAATTTCTAATAGGTGATTTTTGTTTACATGTAGATGATATTGGGCTGAGGGGCAAATAAATATTAGGATCCATTTTTTGGCTATCATCTTCAGCATTTTTAGGTTGGAATAGTTCATTATAAAGACCAGTTTCATCAATCCTGGTAAGTCTTAAAATAGGTATTTTATCAGTGACTAATTCATCTTCTTTCACAGTAAGACAAGTTGTAACACTGGAGTCACTTATATCGTTGGCCCAGGAAAAGTTGGAATTTCTTCTTGTGTCATTAATTGGGTGACTTTTGTTAGGTTCAACTCTTTCTAATAATGTGTTCACTTCTTGATCTCTTTGCTGGGTAGAAATCTGGGTATCATTTTCAGGAACATAATCATTATAAACAGACCTGACTATACTAAGGTCCATGGCTTCTGTTGCTTCCATCTTATCTAATAAAAGTGAAATAAAAAGTCAGCAAAATAACATTCCATTACTAAGTAATATTAAAAAAAAGCTAGACTTGCTTCGATTAGTTAAATATACATTTTCAAGAAATTGTGACAGACTGAGATCCCTATTGCAGTAGCAACATGTACTATACAAGTTTAAACCAGGCAACTATAGGTACAATTAACCTTTCATTCATCTAAAATTACCCGAGGCTAGGCAACTGAATCATAAACTTTGTCAGGAATAGTCTATACTTTATGTAGCAATGTGTGCTAACTTATATAATTACATTATAATATTTCCAATAAAAACCTACCTCTATGTACACTTATTACTTACATTTGATAAAGAAATGTTTTATTTGGTGTAAATAAAAATAATAGTTAAAACAGTCAAAAGTTACCTTCACATATTTTTGGGCATGTTTTTTTAGGTACTTTCTTAACACCTTGGTTTAATGGTTTTTCTAAAATACAAATAAATTGTTAGAAACCTTTACAGTGTAAATTCACATAATAATTGTATCCCAAATAATTAAATCTTTTATTACTTAATATACATTTGTCTTGCAAATTTTGTATAATTGTAGACAAATTGAAATATTGAAGAAACTCGACTTACTCTTTATTTTCCTTTTTGAGCTTTTGACTATTTTTCTTTTCTTAACCTGTGGTTTTTTTGTATCTAAAGTTTCATCAATTTGTTTACTGTTTGGTAGGTTCTCCTCACTCAGATCTAAATCATTGTTCTTTGCCTGCTTTTCATCAAGTCTCCGTTTTAATGTGGTTTTCTTTATTGGCTTCATATCTGTTGAGTTGTTATTAAAACAGTACTTTTTGGGAAACTGTGACTGCACTACTGTAATAAGAAAAAGACATTTGTTTTAATGTACATTGACTAACAAACTAAAATAAAAGTTAATTTTAAGTTTAATAAAAATGTTAATCATAATAGAAATTATATAAACCTTCATTAGCCAACTGAATTTTGGTTTCTAAGGATAGTATTTGAAGTCGAGACTTTCGTGTTCGTGAGGTAGTTTGGAGTGTTTGTACTGTGTGATTTTCATCTGCAAGAAGGAACAATAATATATTGCATGAGAATTTGAAAATCGTTCATTCTTAATGTGGGGTCCTGCCTTATTATAACCATATACCTTTCAATTTACATTTTGTCTTGGGAGACTTTTTTCGTACGTTATCAACTTTATTCTTGGAAATTGGACTGACAGTTTTTGCAACTGAAGATTTCTTTTTTGGAGGCATTTTTAAAATGTCATAATATTTAGTTGTGTAAAATTTCACTAAGCATTCGATAAATAAACTAATCCAATAACTGAATGTTGGTTAACTTGCTTTTATTTGATTCCAAATATGATTTTAAAATTTCTGTATGTTTATTGCCGACCTTGGTTTTGAAATAAGTATATTTTACACAGATTACATATAATAATATAATGTTTCATCTGTATGTCAACACAGCAGGCCGATTTTGTAACTTTTGACAATCAGTTATCAACTAGCCTTCAGTTGTCCACCGTAATTCGATGATAACTAAATGATGGTAACTATTGGTATTTTGTAACTTGGTGAGTTACGGTGACTAACATGGCGGCATAGCCACTTATAACGTAAACACAGAACATCACTATTTTTTATCGACTATTATTCGACTAAATTGTGAAAGCGTTGTATCCAGTGATAATACACGTACTTTAAGAACATTTTATTTTGACTACTTATGTCCTTGAAAATTACGGCTTGGCGGCTATTTCGAATACTTTAAAGTTCTTATTTCATTTTTGTTTATGTTATTGTTAATTGAAACGTTGTGAAGAGTTAGTTGTTAACTATAATGGATCGTTGTATGAAGTGTAAATGTTTAGTTAAATTAATAACATCGCGCTGTACAATTGTGTTTTAACAAACTAAAACGTACAATCGCTTTAAAATGCCTGCACCGAGAAAAGTTAGTGGAAGGCAAATGGAATTGCTGGTGGACTTTGCGGAAAGGAACCCCAATATAGCATTGGGAATAATAGGCACCGTAGCTGTAGAAGGATTGCCTGGTGTACGCATTCATGTATCGGTTAGTAATCTAAAAAATAATTATCAAATACAAATTGCATTAGAAATGATTTTAAAATTTTTTATTTGTTTTTCATTCCATTAAAATATGATTTTTAGGTCCCACCTATCTCTTCTCAAAGCACATTCATATAATCGACGTCAACTCCGGAGCCGGCAGATATGCATATAGAATGGCTAGAAGAAGATATAGAGGATAATGAAACTCAGTCACAATCTGAAACATCTAAGGACGGAGGTTTGTGTACAGTGAGGTATCAAATTTTCTACTTCATTTATTAATGAATAATTTCTTTGGCTAATAATGTTTTTTATTATGCCATATCGTAAGACTGACATTCCGTCCCTATTTTATTTATTTTGTAATTACTCATCTTATAATATGATTTAATGTGACATATATGTATATAAAAGCTGATATGATATTAAAAGCTACACAACTAAAATTAATACATACATAATAAATTAGTTCCTTTTGCAAAGGTTGCAAACCGACTGGTGAAATATGTCAATCGAAATAAATATTTTTTACTCCTAACACCGGCTTGCTAAATTTAGGATAACATAATAATTTTTCTTCATTAATTACAGTTCGTCAACGTGAAAGGCCACCACCTCAATATTATCTTCTATCTTAGGCTATTCAAATCGAAAGAAGACGTGTTGCAGCGGAAGAGAGAATGGCAAATAATGTGCAATCACTTGCTGAATTAATTAGGGAAATTAGAGATGACATAAGACATTTTGTTAATAAATAGAAGAGATATAAATGGTAAATTTTTATTCTGATAGTTATAAGTTCCTCTAAATTAATACAATTATTGACTTTTAATGTTAAAGCGTATTAAAAAAATTACAACTAATTATTTACAACATCTAACATTATGGTACACTTACAAACCTTAAAATATATGCTATTTATATCATAACTGGAATTTAACTTAAATTAACTAAATAAAGTTAGATTTTAAATAAAATCATATATCTAATAATATACAAAAAATTATAGTATTACACATTATAAAAAGAAACTTATTAACTATTTCTATTAAAAAACTAAAGTACTTGTCTTATTATAAAAAAAAATATTCCGAATCCCACATTCTCTGTACAAGAGTTTTTTATTTTGTTCTTCAGCTAAACTCAACATAATTAGACGTGCCATAATTCTGCAATATTATGAAACACAAATAAAAATCACTAAACGACAAGAAAAATAATAATCACATTGTTAATCACCAAAATATAAGAATAAAACACTACCTTTGAGTAGTGTCTTTCAACGATCAAAGTGAATAACAGTTTGATGATAACTAAGCGTACAAAATCGCAAGTTTTCAAATATCGATACAAAAACTCATTTACGGTGACGATCAACAATCTCGGTTCCTTTTGACGTCATAATCGTTAGCAATCGAAAATGGCAAATACCAAACTGGCTCTTTGACAGATAGTTGTTGTCAACTAATGTCTAGTGATTAACACTATTGAGTTACAAAATCGCCCTGAGGGTTGTCAGTGGCTGTCTAGACTCTAGAGTGAATAATACTTTTTCAGTAGAAAATTATATCAGATCTGTGATCAGATATCTTAAAGTGTTGCATATTATCTATATTCTACTTAAATGTCTAAGGTCATAAAGGTCATTTACGTCACATTAGAGGACGAATGTAAAACGATATTGTTGATAATTGGTGCCGGCAACTACACACTATCGTAAGTTAATTCAATTTTAAAAACTTAACCATGGGTGGTAAATATAAAATCGTTATGATTCGGCACGGAGAAAGTGAATGGAACCAGAAAAATCTATTTTGCGGCTGGTATGATGCGGATTTGAGCGACAAGGGTAATTATACATATTTTATTATTTTATATTTGTTAATAAATTATAATATTAATTTTTTAACATTAGGTCGCGAAGAAGCTGGGGCTGCGGGTAAAGCTCTGAAGGCCGAAGGTTATCAATTTGATGTGGCGCATACATCCGTTTTGAAGAGAGCTCAAATCACTTTAAACTCTGTCTTGAAAGAAATTGGACAAACTGATATTACCATAAATAAGACGTGGCGGTTAAACGAAAGGCACTATGGTGGTCTAACTGGACTTAACAAAGCTGAAACTGCTGCTAAATATGGTGAAGCTCAAGTAGGTTATTATTACCATTTTACTACAAATTAATAACCCAATATCCATCCCTTTTGGTAGATCTTATGGCAACTACTTCAAGTTGTAACATAAATTGATGTAACCTTAATTTACAAATTTTTATTCATACAAAATTAATAATAGTTGAACAATTATAGGTACAGATATGGCGTCGCAGCTTTGATGTACCACCCCCAGCCATGGAGAAAGACCATCCATACTATGATACCATTGTAAAGGATCCACGCTATGCAGGTGACCCAAAACCAGAAGAGTTCCCAATGTTTGAAAGCTTGAAACTTACCATTGAGAGGACACTGCCATATTGGAACGATGTTATTGTTCCACAGGTGATATGAGTTTCAAAAAAGACTTGAGAGATGAATACTTCAGTAGATGAAAGTCTCAATTGTATCCTGTATTTTTCAGATCAAAGAGGGCAAAAGAATTATTATTGCAGCCCATGGTAACAGTTTGAGAGGCATTGTCAAACATTTAGACAGTGAGTATAAAAATTTAGTGATCCTTATATTTTTTAAATGAACGTCTATACTAATATAGAAAACTGAAGGGTTTGTTTGTTTGATTATGTATAAAGGAATGATTCCTCATTAAATGATCTAAAAACAGGTATGCAATAGTATATATCGATATAACTTGCAAGAATAACAGGACGCGGATGTCGTCATGGGTAACAGCTAAAATTTATCGAGTTGAACAGAAGGTTAGCAAAAACAAATTTTGACGCCCAAAATAACTTCTATGTGGATGAAATTGCTGACTCAGCTAGTGTTTAAATAATAAACATTATTGATATAACTCTGCAAAACATTCACAGACCTCAGCGATGCAGCTATTATGGAGTTGAACTTACCGACTGGTATTCCATTTGTATATGAGCTTGATGAAGACATGAAGCCTGTGGATTCTATGGTCTTCCTCGGAGATGAAGAGACAGTCAAGAAAGCAATGGCAGCAGTCGCAGCTCAAGGAAAGGCAAAGTAATCATATCTTGCCATGCTTGTGTATTTTATTTGGTACTCAAAATATTATACACCTAATGGTGTCTTGAATATCAGTGATTATATTATATTGTCTCTAGTGAGTTGTTATAACTTAGTGTTACCACTTTAAGGATCCCAGATGGAAATTGTAATCTGATTTTTGACAAACTTGTATTTAAAGTTTGTGCGCTTTGCTAATAGTCACTAGTAAGATTGATTTATATTCAGTTTATTTATTGTGTAAGTTGGTCTGATATTGTCTAATATCGAATGTCAGAATTGTGTATGTTGCTTGTGAATAAAATGTTACTGAAATACATTTTTTGCTTTACAATTCACAGACAATTCAGGTTTCAGAAGCACTCCCAAGTAAAACACAAACAAAAAATTTAAAAAGAATTTAATCTCTAATTGTATTATTCTGGTAAACTTTCTTTTAAACTGTTCATGGCTATATCCATATTATCAGATGTTGTTTGCCTCTTATCCGTAGTAAACTTTCTCCCTGTGTATTTAAAGCTTTTCACTTTGCTATTACTAAATGTAAAATCTTTTTTCTTATTATCTTTACTATTGCTTTTTAATTTCTTAGGTTTCTGGTCGAATCTAAAATCTTTAGGCATTTTGTGAATCTTCATACAATGATCAAGTCTTTCTTCTGGATTCTGGAATTTTTCTTTACATTCCTCAATGTAGCAACAGTACTGAAAAATTAATGTTTTAATGAAGACATTACATTATACGAAATATTAAAAGAAATAACAAGGAAAGTATAATTTAGGTCTTTATATCTATTATTTAAATAATATGATTACCGACGGTTTTCTTAAAGCGCTAACAGCGAAAAAGGAGTCGTGCGTTTCTTGAATATGCAAATCCAATAAATGTGGCGATGGAAGAATCTTCTTACAATCGTTACACGAGTATCTATGGCTGGCATTGTAGTGGTTTTCGAAATCTAATAATGAGTCTGTGGTATATGTACAGCCAGGGACGGTGCAGGAAGATGAGATTCTGAAACATGTGGAAATAGACTGATGAACTCATCTAGTACAATCTATCAAATGCAAGTATTACCAGTATTACTTTTAGAATGGAATTATTAGAAAATGTGAGTAAGAAAGTAAAGATAACATTTTTTTACTGGTCTATGAGGACTTATACAACCTAATAACTACTACCTAACAGAAATAGTCGTTATAAAGGCTTATGCTTACATTTCATGACATAGTTCTTCATCATCAATATCATATATTCCGTATACTTTGCATGGAAATTCCCCAGTGAAAAATTCGTCGTCTAGTTTTCGTCGGCCCACACCGTAAACTTTTAACTGCTCTAGGAAGTCTTGCATTGTCTACAATGGCAACGAAAAATAATTTAAGCATATAAAATACAAATTTTTAAGTGAAAAGAAACTTCTCTTTAATTTTCTCATATTTCAATTTTTTTTCATGCGAATATTAACAACGTAGCAAAAAGGAAATCAGCAAACTTTTTACGTAATTAAATTCTTGTTTAACAGGAGTGGCGATATTAATATGATATTATCTTTCAAGCAGGGAACAGACGTAACTCAGCCGATTATTATCAGTGTTGGACTTTGAGATAACTCGTCCATAATAGTACATTCAACTAGATTTCCTTCGCAAAACTGCTGAATCACCATGCTTATTTAAATAGAATTAAATATAGTACGTACATTGATATAGCAAAATAATGTCTAAACATTTTAAATGTGAGACGACGAATACATGGGCATGTAGAGCTACACGCAAAGAAAATCGTTTGAAGCCTGCGTTTGTTCGCATATTAAAATCTTTATAAAAAATTCTTGACGTTGATTTAATTTTACCAATTTAATAGGTATAACATGATTACGAACCGACCACGAAAACAAATGTATAAGAATTTACTGCAAAGCCAAGGCGCTGAAGCGACCGGCAGATCGACAGGCGAGCCACGAAATCGCACGATTACTCGCTTCGTCGTACGCGATACCAGTCTTTTGGGGCTAGCTGCTTGAGGGGCTGTAGATGCATCATGAATGAAACTGAATCACTCTCACATTCCAAGAGCGTTGACATTTCAACATGATTGATTTTATCATAAATCAAAGCCTTCATTGTAAACGTTAAGTATATTTACTTAATATTTCAGTTGTCTGCGAATTTAATAGATGCATAAATCGGTTTGATGAAGATGCACTGCTTTGCCGTTGATGTAAGGTAAGTTATTTTTTTATCATCTATTCACGACCTATATAAAGTATTGGATATATAGTGGTGTCAAAATCAAGATTCTACTAAACCTGTCTGTGGGGAGCTGTGTTTAATTAGTGTTGTGTATTATTATTTGCTTAAGTGGCTTTGATTGATAACCAGGTACTTAATTAGTAGGAAATATATAACAAATATATTTTTTATAATAAAGGAGGTAGGTAAAATACCCCATAACCCAAAAAATACCTCAGGCATATAACATCTAAACGAGGTACGCTATCAACCAATTTTGACTTTTGATATTCGGAAATCATAGACTCAAATCGACGGTGGTTCCCGATCCGGACGGAATTTCGTTATTCCTACCAACCATTTGATATCCAGATTTCCAGACGAGACACAAAATTTTTCAGAAAAATTATAAATTGATTTGAAAGAAATTGGACCCTTTGGAGATCGAAACCACGACTGTTACCTTGTAGTTAGGGCTCTGGGGTAGTTATAATGAATACTGTACGTAATGAACTGAAATATTAATTTAATTACAGGAAAGCCACAATCATCGACAAAATACATCTGTCAGATGACGTAAGTTTATATGCATCATTAAGAAACATGGTTTGTTGGCGCCATTTTTACTGGTTATTTCTTAACTAAGTTTAAAACTATAAAATATTTTTAATATAACTTATTTTTTTTTTATTTTTTATATTATTTTGAGGATTATGTCTTTAACGATGGCCCGATGATTAAGAATGCTTTTTTATAACATAAATACATAATATTATCTCCACCGTCGATTAATGTAACAATAGTAAATTTATGTTAGCCTTTAATTATTCAAGGTTGTTGTAACCATTAGCCATGTCTAATAATTGTATGGTTAAATTATAAAACAAGTATAACACGCGAGTTCTCTCTCAAAATAAAAATCAGAACTGGCTACTTGTTTCTGTTCTTGATAGTTGCGTCGACTACTAAACACTGACTAAGAGCTACTTAACATAGTAAGTAAATATATAACAAAGTGGTATTTATTTAGATTTTAATATAATTATATATTTCTGCAAAATTTACCGTTGGATTTATTACGTTATTCCCTTTATTAATAAAGTTTCTCTCGCGTCAACGGTTAGTCAGTTTATGGCGATCATAAGATGAAAAGTGGGGTAAGTAGAGTTTGTCTGTGGCCGATTGGTTTATTAAGGACTACATTAATTTATCACGATGTAATTTAATAAAACGTTCTACATTTGATGTTTTGTTGTCTTTACAAACATAGAAGATAAATACTTCTCAACGTCGGTATTTATCGAATAATAGATGAATTAATATATCAAGTTTTCCTCCCAAAAGGTGAAGGGGAAATTAATAAAATGGTTATCAGGTAAAGTAATCACCCGGTCTTCTATCGGGTTCGGCAATAAAGGATAGTAATTATAACATAATTACCTGTGTACACACTAACATAATTCTATATTATTTAATTACAACACTATATAACCGTCTTTTTCTAATATTTATGATAAAACTCAATAAAGTAATCAGTAGTTGGTTGTCTTTCCTACGCCACCGCGGTCTCAAATCGTGCGGCCTTGTTAATGTAGTAGTTACCGTACCTACCTAGGTATTATACATAATAATTGTTACGCAATATCGAAAAGGAAATACATGAAGAAATAGTCTTAGTTTACAATAAAGGTTTAATAAGATGAGTGGAATTCGCCAAAGAAAGGTAAGTTGTTAATTATTATAGATAGTAAGTTGTTTGTACGTACGTAATAAAAATATATGCGCCGTTTGACAGTTCAAGTAGGTAAATCAGAAGTAAACTTTAGTTTACTTAAAATATTTCGACAACCAAATAAATATTTTAATACGCATTATTCACACATAGAGTTGATTATTTTGAATCAATACATTAACAGTATTTTTAAAATAACTTATTCACCTATGTGAATACAATACAAACTACACACCTTAACTTTTATGTTTTCGCTTTGTTATTTATGTGCCCATCTGATTTCGATTTCGTGATTAACAAAGTAAGCTAAAAATAAATCGTGGAGTTGTGAAAAAAGTACTTGTAAAATTAATTTGTTCTGTCGTATTTAATATTTTATGCCTGTATCGATAGATAACAACTTGACGGACGACGTCAACCCACAGATCACTTAAACTGCGTCAATCGTCAACCATAGAGATTGATAGCATGTTTTTTACTTGTGTTTGGTGTTACCATTACCTTATAGAACAATGCAATTTGTAGGAAGATTGATATTTTCTTTGTCTTACTTTGAAGCGAAAGCTTTGTTATAACTGGATTAAAAAAACATCCTTTTCTGTGGTGGCGAGCACTACCATATAAAATAACAATGCCTTAATTACTAAACAACAACATACGACAATGCCTTTTTTAAATTGTCTAACAAATAAATGATATATAATATATGGTTGCGTGATTATGGTACTGAAGATGCTAGGAGCCTTTGATTCTGTCATGATTGCCATTTGTTTAGGGTCGAACATTCGTGCCATTACCTTAGACCATAGAGTAGGCGGTAATAGGGTCGATTTAGCTCTAGCGTCGATTAGTTAGTTCATAGTTCTGTGGACAATTTTGCATTATCTATATTTTATACAATTTGTTTATTTCTGTGGATCATTCGAATTTAGATTTTGAGATTTGATCGACAATTAGTATTTAAATTTAACTTTGGCAAATAGTTAATTCTTCTTGCCACAAATGGAAAAAAAAAAAAAAAATTTAACTTAATTCGTGTACAAAGTATTTACAAGTTTTAGGTGTTTAAAAAAAAAATACAAATTTCGTTCGTCCACAGCATGGATTATTTTAATACACATTAAATCATTGTTGCTGTTATTTTTAATAATGCTATTTTTTTCCGCAATAAACTTATTACTATTGTAAAGGTTGTGATGTTTACCCATTATGGGAAAATTCAGTACGTACAGATATTTAGAGGTAAGAATATAAAGTATATTTTTTTTATAAATTATTACTATCAAGGGCTTTGTACTTGCTTAAATACGAAATAAACTTCAAAAGAGATGATTTTGTAAATTATCTAGAGATGCCCCGTTTCTGTTTAAATATACTGACAAAGAATTTACTTATTTCTATTATTAACTAAATGAGAATGAATTGGAATAGATAAGTCATATTTTTACACAATATTAAATAAGGATTAAATGTAATAAACTTAATGGAGATATAAGTCACAAATCACCAATGGTAATGGTATACAGCTAGGAAAGTGATCTCATTAATTAGCTAATAGTTGAGGTTTATTTTATAGTGGGATTATTAATAAATAATAGTTCATTAAGATAAATATAGTTTAGTATTGTTAACATATTTTGGCAATTCATAAATATATACATAATACAAGGTAAATTTGAAAAATATGTGTTCGCTCCGTGTATAGTAAACAGGATTGTGTAAGAAACAGATGTCTCAAGTTTTAAGTAATGTGTACTTCCTAAGCAATCATTTTGTACCTAGTGTGATATATTCACATTGGTTTTAAAGTTAGGAACCTTTTGGAAAATTGGGTATTGGGAACAAACTTAGCACAGTGTTGTACAATTTGCATGTGCCCTTTAGCTGAGTCTGAATTTTGAGACTATGAAACTTTAGTTGTAAGAATAAATTTAATATCCAATGTTTTTTTTTTGTAATATTGTGGCTTTCAACAATTTTTTTACTTTCTTTTAATTAATTCATTTTTGTTTTTAGTTGAAAGATGATGATACCTCAAGTTCACATATCAATGTAAGAAGAAGTTTAAAGCAACCAAGGAAATTCAAGAAGGTCTTCATTTTTTTAATAGTCCTAGCAGCATGTGGCACATATTTTTTGGGTATGTTGTATATTAACCATTGCTTCCTTTCTGATATTTTTTTTGGTATAAAATAAAGGGTTTTAAAAGATGCTTATGCATCTTCATACGGCAGGCAATAGCACACTGTTATTTTCTCTGGCAAAAGTATGGCATTGCGATAGCAGGTCCTGGGTTTGAAACTCAAGATCATAAGAACCACAATAAAATAATGGAAAGGGTGCCTAGAATAGGATCATAGAAATATGCAAATGGTTCAACACACTTGGTATAAAGTACCAAGTTGATAAATTAAGTAATCATCATAGTAATAATTTAAGTATACACCTTTTTACATTTTATAGTGTAATTGTTAAATTAATAAAATAAATAGTTGTTACTTGAAAACATTAATATTTTTCACATGTTATTGCACATGAAGGCACTATATAATTTAAAATCGAAAATAAATTGAGCTACCGAGGACTCGGTAGCACAATTGGTAGAGCAACAGCACGGAAAGCTGACGATGCCGGTTCAAGTCCTGCCCGAGTCGAAACATTTTTTCAATTTATTTTCGATTTTTAAATTATATAGTTGTTACTTGTCTATACATAGTATTTAAGTTTATCTAAATTAGTTTATTATCATGTTTAAACTTACATGTAGTGCATAAAATTAACATCACGGGTCAGGCAGAATACAGAAGTGATTTTCAGTATGAAAAATACAGGTCTTTTTGGTTGCATATAACACTTGTTTCTCGTCATTGTGAACATACAAAATGAATTGAAAAGTTTAACGAGCACTAACGTTGATAAGCTTTAATTTAAGTCTACACGAAACTGAAGTAAAAATACTAAATAATTAAATTTTTTACAGACACATTTCCCTGTATTATTTTTGCATGTACATATACATTTTTAATTTATTTAATGTTACATCAACATGCCAATTCAAACGGCTCTTACGTAAAGTCCTTATAATACTAAGTAACGTAAAGCTGAAAAATTTACAATTGGTAATTAAGAAACGATTAATTTTTGTTAGATTTGGGAATTAATAGAATAGAATTCGCAAAGATAATTGATGTCTTATCTACAAAAGCATAGTAAACGAAATTTTTTTATATGTGTCGGAACAATCTGTTTTAAAATTTTTTACAGATTATGAGAGGTACTTATATCTAAATATAAAATTCACGTTCGTCGCATTACATACATTTAAAGAAACCAAGTCCTAGGATTGTAGCTATGAGCAAAAGATGCACAGTGTAAAAAGCAGTTTAACCATATCTTTCTCTCGCGATAATGTTTGACTTGGGCTTAATACTTTAATATGACGGAGCATAAGGTTCAAATTGGTGATGATTGAAAGAATATTGTTTGAAATAAATATTAGTATTGTGTGGTATGAGCTGGTTAAGTTTAGACGCTAGTTTACTTTTGCTGTCAACAATTATGGCTAACCTAACATTGGCGAGTGCATTTTCTGTGATAATACAAGGTATTTAATAATTGGATCGTTTGTTTGTGTAGCTTAATATATTTAAATAAGACACTTTAACGGTTTAAAACGCGATGTATATTGGTTAAATTTAATAATTTTATCTACGCCCCGACGTTTCGGATTTTTTGCAGCAGCCGTGGACATGGGGATCATCTTAAACTTCGGACCATAGTTAAAATAATTTTAAGTAATGTATATCGCGTTTAAACTGTTAAAGTGTTTTATTTAAATGTGTACTAATCGTGTAAACTACTGACTGTATTTATCTTAATATATTATTAGGTATTACGCGAGTTGCTAAACACAAGGTGATAAACATATGTAATTTATGGCCGTGTTTATAAATAAGTGGTTTCATGCATTTCCACTGCGTTCAACGCAAGACGTCCCGGGTTCAAACATTTGGGCGGGCTCGTTGTGACAGTATCAAAGCATGGCTAATAATCTACCGGTCGTGGATTCGATCCACACTGGGTCCAAAATGTTGTAATTAATTTATAATTTTTCTGAGACATGTTGGACTATGTCGGAATATTTAGATTTTTAGGGTGGTAGGAATATCGCAAATTCCCTCCTGGTCACGAACAACCGTCCACAGATGAAAAAGCCGTGAAGTTTAATCGCGTCTGGTTTCAGGTTTGTCGATTTCAGAATATCCAAAGCCAAATAGGTCGACGGCGCATCTTGTTTAGATGTTATATGGCTTATATATGGGTATTTCACCTCAAGTGGACCATATGCGTGTCTGTCCTTCTTTATCATAAAAAAGGGTTATATTACACGTCGACATAATCACGTCACAATCTTATAGAGTTCTTCAATAAATCAGCATTATTTTTGTTTGTCGTGATGCTCATCTTACTAGCAATACAAGAAATAAACAAAAAAAATGACATTGGAAAATTATACTGTGCAAGTAATACTGTGAATAGCCGATTGTAATTTGATACGAAAGAAATGAATGAATTCTGATACCTTCCAATGAAGCCATAGAGATGGATCACAGCTATGTTTGAGTTGTTTATCGTAGAACTGGTCACAGGACGTTAAATATCAACAAGAATTTCCTGTTTAGCAGAGCTATTGTTAAATGAATAAGTAAATTTTAATCGCTGTCAACCACTTTTGTCTCATATGATGAAGATGATCGCCTTATTTTGAAACACGTACTTATGTAAGACGATACATAATTTCTTTAATATTTACTGTAGAATAGGTATGCTAATGAGCTAATTTTTTGATGTTATTAGGTTAAGCTAAAAATATTTTATTTAGTTGTCATACAGCTTTAAAAAAACCTTTTAAATGCAAGCTTTTGTGCTCCAAAAGTTCTAATGCTTAAAAAACCAAATTTTCTCTGTACATTTAATCAACATACAATCATTTGTAAACCTCACTTGGTGATAACGAACATAGTATCAAATAAAGATACAATTTATTACCTAATTACTATATCAGTAATTACTAAACGATTCTATCATAATTTTTATATACATTTCGTAGAAAACAGATTACTCACGAATCATAAACTACAATGGTTTTATAATTACATGCTTTATGTGATATAGTCATGTATTACTCATCCGACATATTAAGGGAATTTTCTTAATGTCCCTCGCTCATTAAGAACTCATAATATTGCAGGCGTCGAAGAAACCAGCCTCCATCATTATTTTCAATTTTTTTTATCGATAAGTAGTTTAGCCTACAACGTTACAAAACAAAAACAAAAGTTAAGCCAAATTTGACAGGATCTACGAGTTTAATATAAACTTTTTTTAAATTAAAATATAAGTAATAATTAAAAAAAAAACGTTTTTTACCTATATATCTTTGTAGTTGTTGATCCAGTCAATGTTGTTTTGTTTGCAAGATTCATAGTATTGTTCTGTTGATACACCTCTCCAACCAATGATTGGTAATAATGCTTTAATTTCGACCAAATTTGTTTTGATTTGATCACCGTAAAAATGCAGCGGGTTAATCTTAAAAGATATATATATATTATACTGTCGCGGACATTTTGTTTATAATATGAAATGAGGAATCATTCTTTCATGCATATTTTTTGGTTTCTCGAGTCGTTTTCACTGCGCAAAACTGCGTCAAAAATCCTTTAAGATGACAAATGAAAATGTATGGATGGATTAAATTTTGCTCGTCGTTGCCACATTCTCCACTTTTATATTATACACAATTTATTGTTCATACTAGCCATTGCATTTAAGACTGCCCCAAAATTCCATAACGGTATTGATATGTTGCAGGTCTATTCACGGGCCAGACACAGTGGTTCGATGGCCTCGCGAAGAGTCTCGGATATGAGAGCGTTTACCATCACGCCGTTATTATTGACGCTGGATCTTCTGGGTCCAGAGTATTAGCCTATAAGTTCCGCGTACCGTTTACAGGTGAGCATTTCTTTCTAGTACCTAACACAAGTGTAAGACAGTATTATTGTAATGTATCATGTTGCCATATTTAAATACAGTCATTTTATTAATATTTTATGAAAATATTCATTCGAATGGGATTATAAGTAGTAACATTTCTAATGTAATTCTTTTGTTATATTTCTTCATGTTTTCACTATGGACTCTTATATAATAGCAATATAAATAACTAATAAATATTTTGTTGCTATAAAATAAAACAAAAACATTACATATATTTTTTCTGAAATCGTATATTATGTATTTATTTTTAATTTTACAGTATTTGGTCAAGCCAATTTAGATCTAGTAGATGAATATTTCGAAGAAAGCAAACCGGGCCTTTCTTCTTACGTCGACGATCCTAAAAAGGTATGGCGACAAAACAAATGTATAATTTGCTTAAATTATCTGTGGAAATTATTTAATCACATTGATGTTGGCTTTGACAGGGTGCAGACACGATAGTGCAATTGATAAAAAAAGCAGAGTTCCTTACGCCGTTAGAGAAACGACGATCCACGCCGCTTATAGTTCGCGCGACGGCTGGTCTCCGGTTGCTACCAGCTGACAAAGCGAAGCAACTTGTACAAGAAGTAGCTGACACTATAGCCAAGTAAGACAATTTAATATACCTACAGCTAAATAAAACATAAAATAATACTTAAAACCAATAAAGGATTACAAAATTCGGAAGAAATATTTATGATAGGGTACACAAAAAAAGAAGGCTTACATAGTGATATTAGGAGAAAACAAAATGTTTATTAATACTGAGTTATGTATTCAATTTCAGGTCTTCGTAAGTTAAAATATTTGATTTTTATTATTTGATCTTAAATTGAGCTCTTTATGATATTAGCCAATAATTGTTTTATATTATAAATTACATTCTGGTTTAGTATAAGTATATTCTTACGCAAATTTTCTTTTCATAGTATTCATCGTAGTTCTGGTTCTATTAATTTCTTTTAACTGTTTTTACCTATTGTATTTTGACTCAATATATACTTTCAAATACTTATATTTACAGATTGGGCTACGATGTCGGCCCAAACGGTGTTGAAATAATGGATGGTTCAGACGAAGGCATTTTCATTTGGTACACAGTTAATTTATTGCATAGTGAGTAGGAGTGTTATTCTATTTCTTTTTTCAAATCTTACAGTAGTACAATATGAGATCATGTTCTTATATTGTATTCTTATCACCAAAATGAGTTATTATTAGTGCTGTCTCTTTCTCACGCTCCATACAAAGAACAAGCTTCTTTTACTAACTCGTTGTAGTGAATATAGTTTTAGTAAAATAAAACCTTTTGAAGTTTTCATAGTATTTTATGTTTTTAAGCAATAGAGAAGTTTGGAGTGTGTGTGTTGCTTTGTGTGTGAAAATTTAGCTCTACAGTTTTATAGTGAGACAAGAAATGAAAAAGTTTGGTATAGTTTTTTTTTGTAGTAATGTTATCTTAACTGTTTATACTTTTTGTGTTACAAATGTTAAAATTTTATAAAGTTTCGATTTGGGGACTAAAGATGGTGAACGTCCCAAATGTTTGCAGGACTATGTCCCTATAATTAGTGCTACCTACAAATTCCTCCTACTCGTTGCAGATCTAATTGGTGGAGAAACCATGGCTGCCTTGGACTTAGGTGGTGGTTCCACTCAAATCACTTTCCAACTGCGAAATGAAGACATGAAGATGTACCCAGCTGCGGATCAATATGTGGTACCGGCTGGAGACAATATTACGTTGTACACTCACAGGTATATAAGCGTTCGTTTGGGTTCACCTGGGGCTATAAAGTTTCGAATCTAGGACCCAGGATATACACGCTTAAGATTTCGGACCTAGACAACTTGCACTTATAGAATTTTACACCAAAAGATCTTCAAAATCCTTCCATTTCTTGCTGTTTGTCCCTTGCGTGTAATATCCGTGTACATATTAAAAGGTGTTACATAAATAATGTCGATAAGTTGTAGTTTATGCGAGTAGTATGCATTTAAACAAAACACTTAACGGTCTCAAATGCGTAATATATTAGTTAGTAACGTAGTACTCCCGTGACTACGGCTGCTGCAAAGCATCCAAAACGTCCGGCCGTAGTTAAATTTATTTTCAATAAGTTTTAATTAAACATAATTTACTATAGTTGACTAAATTAAGTATAAACAAATAATTGCCTTCACGTGTATCTATGGTAAAATGTGCTACAACTTATCTGTGTATTTTACATGTCTTTTTCTAAGTTTTACATTATTTATCTCCACAGCTACCTTAACCTTGGGTTACTGGCAGCCAGACACGGGGTTTTCAGAATGGAAGCTGGAGATAATGACACTAATGAATTTGTCTCCGTGTGCGTGGATCCTATTGTACAAAAGGAGAAGTGGACTTATGGGAATAAGCAATATATTATCAGGTATCTTATCGTGTTTAAAATTGTGTTTGAAGGTATTTTGGGTTATAAATAAAAATATTACAGTATTTAAAATATGTTTTTAAGAAAAATATGCATATCGGCAATAAACATATATTTAAACAAGAAGGTTAGGTTAATTGTTGCAACATTTTGAAGTAATGTCTTATTGGTAAAACGCTTTGTAACGTAACGCGTTACACCGGCGTCTCTTTGGTTTCCAAATTAAACATAATTCAACTTAGATTATCACTGGCATTTCCTGACATATACTTTTAAGAAACATAAGGTTTATTAATTTTGTTCTATTTACTCAAAAACTAAAACTACATCAAAATTAAAGTTTGAGTTTATAGATGATTACTTAAACCATTAAGTTTTCTATAGATAACATGACTTTGTTTACGTATAGCGGTGCCCCAAGACCCGATGGCATGAAGCGCGAGTCTGTGTACAAACGGTGTCATGCAATAGTGAGCCAGTACGTGGAACGTACCCTGGACTTCAAGCCCAAACGAGCACCAGCTGGAAGCGTAGCGGCGATGAGTTTCTTCTACGAAGTTGCGGCTGATGCTGGTCTTATAGGTAATATCAAATTTTGAAAAACACTTTAACGGTTTAAACACATAATGTTTTGAAATTATATTAATCACGACCAATCGTTTCGTATGCTCTGCAGAAGCCGTGGCTACGGAGACGAAATGTTAGGCCAGTTAATTTTTTTGAATAAGTGTAACTACATATCATATACAGTAGAACCTCGATAATTCAAAAACGTCCACATCTCGAAAAAAATGTGTGTTCCCGTCCTTTCGAACACCAAAACCTCCGTTATTCGAAATCTCAACCCTCTATTAGTCGAAATAATCAGCGAGCCAATTCGGCAAAATATATGTAATATTCCCTCCATAACTCGAAAAATTATTTTTACCTCTGTGTCACGAAAATAGCAACATATTTTACAACCTTAACAACTCTATTATTTTAGACTCATTACATCTATAGTTCGAATACAAATAAGTTACCGACTTTAAGAATTTGCAATGAATATTTAAATTAGTTTAAATAGGGAAAATTAAATGTACTCCAAACCTCTCCTACCGACCACCACTCACTGTGGTCAACAGTCATGTTGACACCAGTCAGGTTTTAAAATAAGTGATAGTGGTGAATCCGAATATGGGAGTATTTCTCCTTCCATCAAGCGAATCTAACACTTGTCTGTAAAAATTATAATTATTATCTTTACAGACGTTATGACGGGCGGGCAGGTATCAGTAAGCGCGTATAGGTCGGCCGCCCGTCGCGCATGCTCCGCCTCGAACGTTGAACAACCTTGGGCCTGTGTGGACCTCGTTTATATGGTCACATTATTGCACGACGCTTACAAGATCAGGGACGAAGAACTTATATCGGTAATCATTTTTTTTACATTTTATAGATATATCGTTTTTATTGACTGTTTGATTCCTTTTAATCCTAGTGTTTAATTTTAGCAGCTTGTAGACACAGTACATTATTAGTTAGACGGTTAAAACTATTAAACGATGATTAGTTAAACGGTTAAAACGCGCAATGTATTAATTTACTTATTATTATATTACAATTTATCTCTACCACTGCTGTAAAGAATCCGTATATAAGGCCGTTGTTAAAATAATATGTAATAGGTTAACATACATTTTGCGTTATAAACGGTTTAAATAGTTTTATTATATGTTATCTACGCGCGTAAATTACAATAAACTAAATTTCTTCTAAAAAGTTATGCATATCAAGTACTAGTTGTAAATGGCTATCATTAATTTAAAAATCGAAAATAAATTGAAAAAATTTTCGACTCGGGCAGGACTTGAACCGGATCGTCAGCTTTCCGTGCTGTTGCTCTACCAATTGATCTACCGAGTCCTACACCTCATCGTCGAATTTTTTCAACTTATTGATACATCACCTCTCCGCAATGTAATTTCTACCTTAACACTTGCGTATTAAGGCTCAATGTCTTATCTTTGCAGCTTAAGAAATCATTGAAGATGAAATTACAAAGTTATAACGTTTGAAAACATTAATATTTTTCACATGTTATTGCACATGAAGGCACTATATAATTTAAAAATCGAAAATAAATTGAAAAAATTTTTTTTCAATTTATTTTCGATTAATACGCAAGTGTTAAGGTAGAAATTACATTGCGCGAGAGGTGCATGTATCAATAAGTTGAAAAAATTCGACGATGAGGTGTAGGACTCGGTAGCTCAATTGGTAGAGCAACAGCACGGAAAGCTGACGATGCCGGTCAAGTCCTGCCCGAGTCGAAAAATTTTTTCAATTTATTTTCGATTTTTAAATTATATAGTGCCTTCATGTGCATAACATGTGAAAAATATTATGTTTTCAAACTTATAACTTTGTAATTTCATCTTCAATGATTTCTTAAGCTCAAACATAAGACATTGAGCCTTAATACGCAAGTGTTAAGGTAGAAATTACTTCCGAGAGGTGCATGTATCAATAAGTTGAAAAATTCAGTGAGGTTAGGATCGTACTCAATTTAGAACACACGGAAAGCTGACGATGCCGGTTCAAGTCCTCCCAGTCGAAAATTTTTTCAATTTATTTTCGATTTTTAAATTATATAGTGCCTTCATTGCAATACTGTGAATTATGTTTTCAAATGGCTATCATTATCAATATTCGGTCTATACGGGCACACAGACTATTAAACAACGAAAAATATGTATGTTAACACAATTTTTATTAATTCCCAACAGCTGTTCAAGAAAGTGAACGGCCACGAGGTCTCTTGGGCATTAGGTTTGGCGTACACAACGGTGATGAACAAAATTACAGCTGCACCGGCCGCCTAGTGGACGCGGGCCTTTATATTATAAATGCACCGAATATTAGCCCCTAACATATTTTGACCCTAACAGACATTAATTTTTATATGTTTGCTTATAATGATTTCTACTGCCCTTGGCAGACGAAGCACTGTGACTATATCATTTTACATACACACTTATTAGTGTCACCTTAATATACACAAATGAAACGAATTTAACGGGTTAAAGCAATTACAATTTGTTTGGTTTGGTTACGACTATTATATATTATACAATTAAAAACCTATGTTATATGTGTTACAAATGTGTAATTTGAAGTTTATATAGACATTTTTTAAAATCCCATAATGATAATAAAAGACAAAAAGCGATAGATAGTCTAAGGGGCAAAAGATATTGCACTAGGTTGATATTGTTTATAATTTGGTGCATTTAGTTTTTAATTTATAAGACATTTTCTGAAATTTTTGCACCATATACTATATAAAGACAATGCGTAATGCGGCCTTTTTGTTTGACAAATGAGTGGTAATTTTATACGCAATATACAATTTTTATTTGATGTGGTTGTGTACATTTTTGATATTCTTTTGTACTGTTAGTACGTATTATGTATATACGTATTAAGTTAGTGTATTATTTATTCTGACTTACAGATTTCATTATAATTAAGACCAATCCAGGGGGACCAATCTTAAATTGCGTCACACGTTAAACGGGGATGACAGTCAACGCGACCGTAATGTCTGATGTCCAATTTTGATTTGAAAAAGTTATACAGGATGTTCGTAAACTTAACACATGATTTTTACTAGAATAAGGAATATAATATATTAGTGGTTAGGTTCTTTGCGCATTTGCAAAATACCATTAAAATCAGTTAAGTGGTTTAGGCCCAAAACCTAGCTTTTGAATAAATGATAAACCGATTATAGCTTTACATTATACACGAGAATTAATGATAATTATTAATATTGCAAGTTCGTGTAGTGATTTTCTTTGCCATCTACAGTGTTCAAAAACCTGAAAGATGTGGAAAAATTAAACGACTCCTGCGCGCTGTTTATTTTGTATGACAAATCTAATTTTTTAAAATTTTATGGATATAGTTTTGTTTCGTTTTTGAAGTTTGTATTGTAATAATTCATTTGTGCTACTTAATGTGACGTCACAGGGCCCAAATGTCACCAGCTATGGGTAGAACGGGGAAATTTGTGAAAATCGTGTGACAGAATTTTCGATTGGCCCCCTAATCAATATACACCAACCAAGACTATGAACATTTAAAAGTATTAATATTCACAAATTTACATTTCCAGTTAATATCTAAACGAATTACTTTTTTTACGAATTATTGCCAAGCTTAGTATTCGATTATGATTTGTTTTAGTATGTTTCTAATTTTGCATAACCCGACGTTTGTATAATAAATAAAAACTATTTGGATTCGGATATACAATCAATAAATAAAAAAAAATGTCTTTTTCTTTTGTTAATTACAAAACTTTTTTTGTAAAACCTCTTTATACTTTTTGTTGCCAATGCCTCCGTCATCCAATGTATAACTCCAATAAAAGTGTAATGAAGTTTATTACACGCCTTTACTATAAAACTTATGATAAACATATAATTATATAGTAATACGATACTTGATATAGTAATTTTTAAGTAACAGCTGATTACAGTTTTTGAATTTTTGACACAATATTAAATTTTTTAATGTGAAGCTTAAATGCACTTGTCACGTTTTTAAGACGAATAAACGTATGTGTTATGTATGAAATGTACAAAAATTTAATAAATGTTGGATTTTAATAGAGATTTTTTATTACAACCTTTTCAATTTAGTATGGTACGTTGTCGTCACCTTTTTTCCTGGACAATCCGAAACGCAACGCGAATTAACGGTTTCGGTTTAAGGGCTGTCCGTGTTTCCCGACTCAGACGGAATTCCTACACCTAAGGAGGTGAGGTGAGGTAGGTGTAGAATAACATTTAATAAGTCGGTACATTTTCACAGTTGGGTTTTTCATGTTAATATAAATTAGAATAATAGCCTGAATATAAAAAAAAGTTTTGACGGGTCAATACTATATAACTATACTAGGAGGAAGATGCTAATTGAACGTGAAAAAATACTTGCCTAAATGTAACATGCTGGCGTCGCTTTGCCAGGTATGATAACGAGGTGAAAAACTTTTATTTAAACGTATTGCCAGAGTTTTTACACCTGTCAACTTTGGTGTAATTTTACTCGGAGGTCTTACAATGCGTTAAGGTACAGATATGATGCCTTTCGTATTTTAATGGCGCTTCCAGCTTGCAGTGCTTCCGGCATGTTGGCCGAGGCAAGGGTATCGGACTTCCATCGTAATCAGCCATCATTTTGGATCGCGTTAACACATCACCGAATCTCATATGCAAACTTTCTCCAGTACCTAACAATCCCATTTTAAGGAACTCAAAATCACCAGACGCAAATAAACAGTAATTTAACTAATTAGTATTATTATTATTTTTCTCATTTTTTATATGACATATTTGTAAGATGTGGGTTTGTACCTGAATAAAGAATTATTATTATTATATAATTTTGAAATAGAAAATGAATTTTTAAAAAATCGACTCGGGCGATCAATCACTGTCTTTCTTCTGCAGCCGCCTCGGCGTCTCGCGGCCCCTTCGCGCTTATGTGCGCCTGCGGGAGGTTGCGGGTTTCGCGACACGTGGCTACAAGCCTGTCGGTAGGTATACTGCTTGAAGCAGTGTCAAGCCGGTGGTCGACTCGGGCAGGACTTCGCGCATCGTCAGCGTTCCGTACTGTTGCTCTAACCGATTGAGCTACCGAGTCCCACACCCATCCTCGATTTCTTTTTAACTTATCATACATGCACCTCTAGCACAAAACTATTCATTATATCCGTATGAGTGTAGGGATTCTAACATAAATGTTTTACATATAAATAAAACAAGCTAAATTCAATAATAATGTATTATGAACCATTTAAAAGGTACAATAAAAATGTTAATCTAACTTTAACTTCCAGGGATTCAGTCTCCTAAAATGATTACAAGATAAAACAATTGTAAACAGTACTCTTAATTTGTATTATAATGTTTTCGCTTTGCAATTGGTTATAATAAAGGAATACAAGACATGTAGTATGAAATTTAGTTTTCACACAAATGTTTGAATAATACATACAAACAATTCGTTGCTTACAATCAAATTTGACTTCAGATAAGCATTACGTCCCTTAGATTTTTGTCAAAAAGTAATAAAAAAAGTGGGTCATTATTTTACTATTTCTACATCTTACACATTACTATATTAAATTGAGAAAAATAATCCTACTTTAACTTGCAACAACTGGTAACATTTCAACTATTGATCTGTTTGATATGATTTTAAGATTCCTCTAGTATATAATATTAAGAATAATTTTATTTTTATTTTCTAATGAATACCACGGGATTTACGTTTTAAAGTTCACATTCGACATACTATTTATATAGTAAAAGATGATAAAAGATTCTATTGGTCTCTAGTCTCAATAAGTTATATATTTTTTTAATGTTAGAAGGATTGTAAAAGGGATTTTTAACTCTACAAAAACTATCCGATAGAAGAGCTAATAATTAAGTAAATACATACTTAGAACTATAACTACAGTAAAATTGAGTAGAATTAGCATTCTTTGGTAGATATAACGATTTTTGGAAGAATCTTATTCGTGTTCGCACACCCAGATTATTTTTTTTAATCTGGCAATATCTGAAAATTTTTGTGAATTGCTTATAGATACTTAATTTTTATGTTTAATATGGTCACTATTAAACTATTTCTAATGCTAGGTTTCACTTCAACAAGGGAGATATTACCAAAGTTACTGGTTGATTAATGAAAAATGATTTACAACTTCTTATACCAGAACAGGTAATGTTCTCCATCTTCTACGAGTAAGTCATCGACACCTGTAACATTTAAAAAGTATTACTAATAATTAAGACGAATTTAAAAAGGAACAAGTCTTTTATGCGACGATGTTAAAAGCCAGAGTAATGATTTTTGTCATGTCATCATCGTCATTAACGTACAAGATAGATTTAATAAAAGCACATAGAATATATAAGGAGACCTGGAAATCTATATAAAAAACTTGTTTATTATAAGAGTAGGGTAAAGTAATTTTTATACCTTTGTTTATCCAACTTACTTTTAGACAAGAATTGCCGTACAGAAGCAATAATTATAAAAAAAGCGACGTCGATAAACGAAGGTGGGCTGTGGTGTGGGGCTGGTGTTTGATTCTGATATGTTTTTTTTCAGTGCAAGGTCAATTGTATATTTACTGCTTTGTTTAAAATTCCTTTATATCTATTTATTCTGTGCGTATCTATTTAATCAACGTACCAACAGGAGCAACTAGCTGATTGCCAGGTGGGCTGGCGGGGTCAGGCACTTCTGGGAGACGGTACAACAGCCAATAATGGTAACCCATAGGCTCTTCCTTGTGACCAGCTAAAGTATGGACATAGTGCCCGTTTGGCCATTCGCTGGCTTCAAATTTGAACTTCGGGTCCTGCTCCGCGGCTATTTGCATTACGTGGTAAAAGGAGACATTCCTGAAAAAGAAGTTTGTGCCACGTAGAAGATAATCTTCGGGAATACTCAATTGATATGAAGTCGAGCAAAGTCTTCAATTTCGGGGGAAACCATTCTTTACTAAATAGTAAAGGAATTAAGTTAATAATTTTTATATAATATAACATTTTTTTGTCAATTCTACTTGTCCTTTGGGCCGGAATATAGCTTACGGATTAGTATCAAATTAACCGTAACGTTTGTAAATGTATTTTCTATTTGTTCATATTTAATTTTATGTACCTTGGTGCAACCATATACAATGTATAATTTTCAGTAACGTTAGTTCCCAGCCATAGGGTGTAAGTAAATGACACATTACGCGCATCAGATTCGTTACCAGCATGGCCTGATTGGTACGCCATCTTTAGGTTACCATCCCCTCCATTTTCTGGAATCATTTAAGAGCTCGCTAAGAAACATATGTTAGCTTAATTTGTTAAAAGCATACGATAAAAGTGCTGCATTTTTTATTATCATATTTTGCCAAAATTTGGTTCTAAGTTAAACACATACCAAGCGGTTCATGGCGACTATCCAATAGTTTATCACTGCAATGCGGTGGACGCACAGCTGCTAAAGATGCTGGAGTCAATGCTGCAACTGCAGCAGCTGTCTTTTCCACATCACCCCAACCACCATCTGTTTCCTGACACTCTAGTAACCACTTTCTAGCTGCTGGCAGGCTCCAGTGTTGATGGGCACCAGGTCCACTGTCCGAGTCTTCGAGAGCCTGAAACCATAAAACTTTAGTATATTTAAAGATGTTATCTAAGATAATCTCAATTAAAATAAGAAAGTATGAATTTTAAAATTAATTTTGTATTATAATGTGGGACTGTATCTTGCAAGAAACTAAAGTTTGGTATGGTTTTTTACTGCAAAATACTAATAAAATAAGCGTAGACCTGTATAGCAAGTGCGGTAGTGGTAAGCGAACCGAAGCTACCGTCAGGGTGCTGCTGTCGTGCAAGACCAGCCATCGGACGACGAACAAAATGGAGAAGGCTGCGGTGACGATGGTCTTGGACCACACAACGTAGCGCCAATATCACCATCGATATCGTGTCTGTAAACGGAATTAAATTCTTGTGAAAAACCAATGAAAATGTATGAATTCGCCATCACGAGTCGAAGCGAAGACTTAGCTAAGCAGACAGAAAAGCGCGGAATATGAGTAAGATCTCATATGTTTTTTGTATGATAGAGGGAGCCAAGACAAGCATGTGGTTCACGTGATGTAGGTAAAACATCCCAGCTAATAGCATCTAAACAAGAAACGCTGACCTCGCTCGACCTATTTTGGCTTTGGTTATTCGGTAATCCACAGACTGAAACCGAAACGTAATTAAACTTCACGGTTTATGTCTGTAGTACTAGTGTATAGTACAACGTGCTGAGACTAATATGAGCAAAGAAACAGCGGGAAATTTAAAAAAAACGTTGAATATTATTTTTGCCTGTGGGTTTTAAGCGGTCAAGATACCCAAAAAATATGTATGAAAGAATGATTCCTCTTTAAATGGTCTAAAGAATAGTTCGCGATAGTAAATGTCAATATTTTAAGATCAACTTGCAAGAGGGGTAAAAGCTCAAAGTTATAGAGTTGAACAGGAGGTTTGCAAAAACTAACTTGATGCCCCAAATAACTATTCTACGCGGACGAAGTCGCTGACTCAGCTAGTTTGTAATATAGTCCAACTGACATACCTAAACTGTGGTCAGCAGCAGCATTTGCAATATCCAGCAACCGCCTGATGTGACGACGACGGACATGAGCAGCAGATGAGCAGGCGGCTAGAGTTGCGTACGCAAACTCCAAGTCGTGAGGCGGCTCTCGGTGCAAAAGCGCTGATACCAGGTCCCTGCCGTGGAAGGATCGAGGGTCTTTGCATAGCGCACCTAGGGCTAACGTGTAAGCTGCTAGACGGCCTAATGGTGGTGGTGACTCGTGATGCCTGCAAAAAGTCGTACTTTTTAAGATAGAGGACGTGAGGTCTGGTATCACTTTATGGAAAGTGAAAACCCCAGCCACATAACAGATCAATAAGATGCGTTGTCGACCTTTGGCTTTGGACAGTCGAAAATCGCCCGACTAAAATTTACATATTTTTCGTCTATGGACGTGCGATCGTGACTTGGACGGCATTTCGTTTACCCATTTAATACTTGGCGAACCCACGACCCGTCGAATATTAGCAATACATTATTATCCGTAGATCAGCAAGCCTGTCTCGTAGTTTATTTATGGCCTAATTTGTTTTTTCTAGTAAAGCGAATTGTACTCAATCCAGATAGTACAGTGTGGTCTAGCACCCCAACGTTTTTACAATATTCTATCCCACTAACGTTTTAATAAATTTTTATAACATTATATGTGTTTATAAGAACGATAAACACCTAAACACGAAGTAAAATTGATAATGCAAGTCTAAATAGCTAAGTTACAGTTCGAAGCCCCAACTTCATTTTAGATCGCGTGCGGCAAAGGTTTACAAATATTCTTCAGTGATTATTAAGTATTTGACAGTGAAAGATTTTTTGTCTGTGCGTTTTTGTAAGGAATAATCATTGTGTGATAATGACATATTAGATATTTATTGAACCCTGTCATCTGTGGCTATCGACTACACTCTATAGAAGGGCATCACTAGTTCTCTATGGTTTGAAATCGGCCATACTTGTAGTGGTCTTTTGCCAAGTTAGAAAAATACACTATAGAGATATTTTGTATTATCTGTGGATTTAAAAGTTTAATCTTTTATTTTAACTGAAATGAGGTTATGATTAATGCGGAATTTGCACGCAGCCATCACATAATGTACCCACTGGCGCTGAGGCTGTATTGAGAGTTGGCGAGAGGCAAACACAATGGAACAGCAATATCGTCTGACCTATATTTTTAATTCGCTCAGTGAAGCGGAAAACCCCGGAGTATCCTGGTTTTAATCGGCGTTATCATTCGCACATTTAAGTTTGCCATCTGTGTGATTTTTATATAATACACGTATTAAGATATAAAATAGGTCCAGAATATTTGTATATATTTTATAATGTCGTTTTTATCGAAATTTACAGAGCAAAATTACACTAAAATAAATATATTGGTTTGTAAATGATTGTACGCATTACGTCATAAATACTAAAAATACAAAACAACACGAACAATTTTTCTATTTCTTTTATCTTTTTTTCATAAATAAGCATTTTTAACCTTGAAGTATTTTCATAAGATTATTTTCACTCTACCGTAAGCGTAGAATAAGATGACCACACAACATGTCGTCTTGTCAATGCTATGTAACTTATTTAAAACACGGTAGAACTAAAAACGATGTTAGTGTTGTCTTGTATGACTTTAAATTAAACAATAACGGTTTAAAACGCGACATGATACTAACTTTTTAAACTTTTAAAATACTTTCCTTACATACATCTAAAAAAACATGCTCTTACTTAGATATCATGAGTAGAATCTCTATCTCCATCTGCTTAGCTGACAGTTGCATTTCCAACCCTTGCTGTTCTATTTCCTTACCAGTATTATTGGCTAACTGAAATAGAAAAGACAAAATTGTACGTGTTACTATTTGTCGTATAGATATTTTTAAACGATCTTGGGAAACATAAGGGCTTGATATTATTTCTATCCCTATATAAAAAGTACATATCACAGAGAAAACAAATTGGCTCGGAGATGAAAAGCGCAGATGCTTATCATCTTCAGCCCCCACAGAAAAGATATGGCGTAGATATTTATCTCACAAAACACAGATTTAGTAAAAAAGCGCCGAATTGTTGTTGGGAGTTTTATGTGTTTAGAGGTAAGCTTACGCGACTTGTGAGACTTCATGAGAACTGAGTTTCATCGTTTGCACAATAAACATATTAGTTCATGTCCATAAACAGTGGAAAATATGACGTGACATGAAGCTACCATGATCAATGATTTCCAATGAGTTAGAAGAAGTAATATAAAAAAATGAATAAATTAGCCCTAAAGGAAGGAGTGATTCAAATTATGTTAAACACTTTCAACGGTTTCAAACAGGAATATAGCCATGACAGTGGCCTGTTCCGAGCACCTCTGAGAGATCTTAAACGTCGGGTCGTATTTGAAATTCATAATAAACTATAAATTACTAATATATCTTGCATTATAAATCCATAAAATATTATTTAAAGTCTACTTATCAATTTCTCGTGTACCTGTAGAGTCAGCATAACATGGTGGGTGTCATTGCCCCAGCCCCAATCAGGCTGGCGGTGCTGCAGCAGATACTGTAAAGCTTTCTGTATAGCTTGGCCTTCGTTCAGTGGTTCAGTCACCCATACCACCGTGCTCGATACTGGAGTGGTGCTGCTTGGAGCTTTGGTTGTAATTGTTGTTGGTGCTTCCGTCTCTGTAAAGTTTGGAACTAAAGAAGAAGATGTAAAAGGTATAAGGCTTTAATTCATGCAAAAGTTATGAAAAATAATAACGAAACACTAACACTTTACTTTAAGTTGGTTTAGTAACTTTAACGTTTTGAATAGAAACCATTTAAATTATGTCCGATAAAGAGATATCAGAGTTATACGACTTTTACAAAATTATATAAATTTACTATTATTGATATTTTAATTGATTTTTAAAAACATACCAGTTTGTGCTTCTCCCGGTGCGGCTAGGAGCAGTACACATACCGAGAGTGCAATAGTTTTTAACATGGCTGCCTGAAACAAAGAGTCTTCAATTAATTACAACTTCTATCTCAAAGTAATTCTTGGTGGTAAAGTAACAATGTTTAGAGGTGTAGTGAAATATATCCAGTAAAAGCGTTCTTTTAGCCAAGTAATTATTGGAAACCAATAAAAAAATCTTTAAAAAAGAAATACAGAATGTTATTTTGCATAGATATAGAATGCATGAAGATTTTTGTTGTATTTAGAATCTTTTGTGGCGCAAAAATTATTAAAAGACGTAAGTGTCGTTAAAAACTACTCTTTAGTAATAGAAAATATATCAGATAATTTTTAACCGGTTCATTGTATTTAAATAAAAACACTTTAACGGTTTAAAACGCGATATATTAGTTAAACGTATTTGAAAATGTGCCGAGCCGTGGTCACGGCTGCTGCAAAGCATCCGAAACGTCGGGCTGAAGTTAAAAATCATTTTCAAATAAGTTTAACTAATATATCGCGTTTTAAACCGTTAAAGTGTTTTTATTTAAATGTGTACTACTCGCGTAAACTATAGACGGTTCATTGTAATAAACATGAAGGAAGATTCCCTATGGAATACAGAACTGTGCATCAACGTTTTATGTTGAGTGTTTTCTGTAAATTTCAATCCTTGTTGTTTTAGGGTTCTGTGAAGGAAGATAGGAATGCGTTTATAAAAATATTTTCATATTTACATATTATTATATATGGCTTAAAAATGTATTGAGAACACGTAGATGTAGCTATGACTTGATTTTTATAAAAAAAACGATGAATATTTTTTTTCTATATCATTTGTTTCTTTTTTATTTCTTATCTATAATAGTTTATCAACGATAAGGTCATCCATTGCTCCTCATTCTATAAATCTTTCGAAGTCTTTTAGATACTGATTTAGTTGTATTTTCGTATGAATATGTTTTAATAAACAGTAAACGAATATTTCTTAATAGATTATTCATACCATAAACTTAGACTTATTGCACTTGGGTAAAAGAAACTTGTGAATCTAATGTCAAAGATTTAACAAGTTACTCTGTGTAGATTCAAATTACGTTTAAAAAGATAAAGAACCCTTTTACTCAGCTCTGCTTAGACGTTTATTTGCGAAGCAGTCAATGCGACTCCCGTGTGAATAACTGCAGAGTGAAGTGCTTTGAAGAGAAATTCTTTTCCAATATCAGATTGGAAGCGTCATTAGTGCGATAGCATAAGACATATAACAGCTTTTCGTGAGGCATTCGGCTGGCACATCTTTATTGCATGTTATTTTTGATGTTGTGACTCATTATTAATTAATTTATTTTTTATATCTTTACTAATATTATAAATGCGAACGTAACTCTGTCCGTCTGTGCAGTTTTAACGCCGAAACTACTGAACTGATTGAAATGAAATTTGGTACACAATATTTTAGAGCCTGAGAAAGACCATAGGCTACTTTTTAATGCCAAAAAGGCAAGGGGTTGAAAAGGGGGATGAAAGTTCGTATGGAAATTCGTGGTTGTTGAAGCTAGAGGAATGAAACTTTCTTCTTTGGCTTTTTGGGAATAGGAGTGGGAGTGGGAGTTACAGTAGGAGTGATGTGAGGTGAGAGTCCGAGTGTTGCGGCAAAGTAGCACTTGTAACATAAATTCATTAATTTAAACAATAAATTCTACCCCAAGTCACTATTCCACGCGGACAAAGTCGCAGGATATACACATAAGGTACAATCCAAACATAGTACTTATTAATTATAATATCCTTTAGCGGTATTAAATAAACTGCCACGATTTCTTCGTAAAAAATTGTTATGATCTTAGGTTATTAAAAATTAATTAATACAAAATAAACGAGGCGGTTGGTAAGCGAGTTAGAGCGTGTTAAATACAGCGTTTCACGGCCGAGCGCCGGCGGGCCCTTCAATTAGTGCACCAGACGGAAAATTAGCGACGCGCTGTTAGACACTGACGCCCTTATTCACGAGTATACACGAGCGACCGGACCGCTAAAACAACATCGATCGGTTTCGGGTTGTATACCTTTTTTCCAATTTATAAATGACTGTTATTAATGTTTGGATGTTGCGTCTTTAGCAAGATATTTTCTTTTTTCTTTTAAAAATACGGCCATGATTCAATTATTTGTTTGTGTCTCAATCACTTTCTTTCAATTAAAAAAAAATAATGTATGTTCATACTTTGTGTGTTTTAAAAATAACATGTGAAAAATAAAGAAGCAAATGCACTAGATGTGTTGTTTAAAAAAAACAAATTTGGTCGGTCTGATACATTTATAACTATTTGTGTTAAGTCTTGTTTTATAACTATCATCAAAGAATTACTGTAACTATCTGTCGTTGTGTTATGAAAGACTAGACTTAACAGACTATTTCTAAATAGCAAAAAACGATTATTTTATTAGTACGCAGTGACCCTTAATATGGAAATTTTACCTTAAATTAAAATTTTTATTATGTTTCCTGAGACGTCCGAGGTCCATTATGAGAGAGTACATCGTTAGTTCCTCGCTTTGCCGCTAGATGTCGACCTTTCCCGATTTCCCCCCGCCACCGCCAGCGCCCCCTCCACTGTAACTCTACCTGAATTTGCCACGCACAGGCAAGCCGCCAGACTCTTAGATCATTGTTAATCTCATAATAAATGTGAATAACCAGGTAGACCTTGTCTGGACCTCGGACGTCTCAGGAAACATAATAAAAATTTTAATTTAAGGTAAAATTTCCATATTATGTGTTCCGTTAGACGTCCGAGGTCCATTATGAGAGAAGTGTTTGTTATCTCCTGGTGGCTTGTAAAATAGAACGCAACAATGTGAATTTAAATTATTTATTAAATAATCATGATGGAATTCAAAATAATTTTTTATATCATACAGTAGGTACTAAATATTATTTAATCATCACTAGGCTTAAAGTATTGAGACAGAGAATGTGTTTCAACTCTCTGAGTATTACTCTCTACATTTCGACAATAATATCTCTTAAACGTTTGTTCGTGGCGCCAATTTGCTTTGGCAAGAATCTCATTAATGGGATATTTTTCTAAAAAATTGAGAGATGCCACAGCTGACCTACAACTACCAGGCGAGGCTTCTATGCCCGATTCTGAAAGGACTTTCTTAACCCAACCCCCTATAATAGTAGTTGTAGCCGGTTTTACCGGGTCCCTAGTGGTAATAAATAAATTAGTTAGGGAGCCTCTAGTAAACTTAGATACTTCGACTAGCGTTCTAAGCCAAAATAAAGGATTTAAACGTTTATCAGGACAATCTAATAATGTCCAACTTGATTGCCTATACGATCCTGTATCCGTTTTAGAACCGAATACTGGGTGCAAAATGATTGAGTCACCTTTATCAATGAAATGCTGAGGGTCACAGTGCAAGAGAGTTAAGTCATGCACTCTACGACCTGATGTCAATAGGAGAAGAGTGGCTGTTCGCTTCGAGACATCAAATAGACTATTTTCATTCGGGCTCGAATCTCTTAAGTAATGTATGACCGTTCTCGCATCCCATATTGGTAGCTTTTGAGGTATTATTTTAGCGATGGAGATGGCTTTAAGCAAATGTTTTACCAAATTATTTGAAGAAATTTTTACATCACTTAGGGTTTCACAAATTGATGCTATAACAGATTTGTGCACTAAGATAGATCGATAAGCTAAATGATCATTGAGGAATAGTCTAGCTAAATATCTAGCCACACTAGTTGGCGCCGGGAATTGATAATCTAAATTATTTTCTTGACACCACTTCACCCATTTTTTCCAAATAGGAGCATAGGTTTTCCTCGTGGATTGCCTCCAGCATGTTGAAAGGAGATTTTTCTCATCATTCGACCAGTTTTCTATAAGCGAGTCCCAGCCGAAATTAACCATGCTTCCATTTGTAATTTCAGCACTTGAGGCGGAGCCTGTCGTGTCACGGTGTTGATTAGAGTTTTGTCGAGATCTCGTATCATAACTGGATGAGCCAAAGCTCGATTTTTTAGATCTGGGCGCCAAAAAGGCTTCATCCACTTGGGTGCTACTACAATGAACCTGCCTTGCGCTGAGTTGAGGTGGTGCAATACTTGAGGTAGAAGCGCCGGCGGAGGAAATATCCACGCCAGGTCGTATTTCCAGGATCTGCTGAAGGCGTCGTGATAGCAAGCGTTCCAGTCTAATAAGTCTAGCGTAACATAATTCTCCACGACGTGTGCCTCTTTTGAAGCAAAAAGATCTATTTCGGGTGTTCCCCACAGATTGAATATTTCCCTGCTTGCCTCGGGTAAAAGATGCCATTCGCCGCCTTTGCGATTTCGCGAGAGATGATCGGCTTCCATGTTGTACATTCCCGGTAAGTGATGAGGGATTAGTACTATATTCAAACTGTCCGTCAGTGCCAAAAGTTCTTTGGTCATTGCAAGCAGTCTTTTCGACTTCGTTCCGCCTTCGTTTTTTATATACGATACAACTGTTTTGCTGTCGCTCTGTAGAATTATTTTTGAATCCTTCAAGGCTTCTGGATCCGATAAGATTGCAGCTATTACAGCATGCATCTCCTTCAGATTGCAATGCCAGGTCATTTGCCGCGGAGTCCAATGACCTCTGACAGATTTGCTGTTGACTAGGGCTCCCCACTGAACATCGGAAGCGTCTGTTGTTAGGTAATTTGTGCGACTTCTGTGCAAGTGGATCGCGGTCTTTTGATCGATGTTGTGTAGCCACCAAGCCAATTCTTGTCTCACTTCTTCTGCCAATGGGCTGCGCTGAATTGGACTCCTCATTAAAGCATTGCTGTGTTGCTGTAGCGTTCGGCAGTGCAACCTTCCCCGGTGGGTGATGAAGGTTGCAAAATTGAGATACCCTAAGAGGCATTGGGCCTGCTTGAGAGTCCAATTGCCGGCTGACAGACGAGTCGATAGACACTGACGTATTTTGTTGATTTTTTCTGTGGGTAGGAACTTTCTGTTTGAGTTTGTGTCCCAAGTGATACCCAGAAAATCGATTAGTCTCGTAGGAGTGCATATCGATTTCTTTGAGTTTATGTTCCAGCCTAGATTCTGCAGAAATTGCATGGCTTTGTGAACCTGGGCCTGGAGGACTTCCCTGTCCTGGTGGACGAGCAGGTAATCGTCCAAGAAGACAATGACTCTTAAACCTTGACGGCGTAAAAGTTCTGCTGTCCAGTTTGTTACCGAAGCAAACATTTTTGGAGCGATTGCTAAGCCAAATGGTAGGCACGTCATTTGAAGTAGTCTTCCCTTGTAACTGACACGTAGGAAACATCGGTGTTTCACCGAGATTGGGACGTGGTAGTAAGCCTGGCTGATATCCAATTTTACCATCCAATCGCCCTGTTGTAAGAACTTCGGCATTTGATAGTGATGAAACAGATGAAAGGGCTCGGGTTTCATAAACTGATTTAATGCCTTCAGATTGAAAATCACACGATTCTTGCCGTTGTTTTTTCTTATTATAAAAAGCGGGGATATGAAAGATGGCGTCATGGGCGCAAATTCCAATACACGCTCTCGAATCATTGTTTGAATTTCTAGATTCATGACCGCTGACACAGGAGTCTCGAACTTTTTTAGAATATCCTGCGTAGGTATTAGCAAGGGTGGTCGTTGATTGAAAGGTATTCGAGCGGAAGTAATAATTTTCAGAATTGAAGAAGGAGGATGTAATTTCTTCCAATTTTTGCGATAGTACCTCAAACAACCGCCCGAAAATCCTTTTGAGTCATTTATGCTTGTATTTATTAACTCTATTAGATTTGCGTCCCCCCCTTTGTTTTTTATCAAAATCTTCCGTGTTTTGTTTTTTATGATTTTGCTTTGCATTGTACTGTTTAACACGAAAGGGCTTTTCTTGAGACGTAGAAGGCATAGGTGGATTGCCGTGCGCTGGCGACTTGCCTCGCGTCTTAGGTTGAGACCCAACGATCTTATCAATTTTATCAATACCACCCATTTTTTGTAAATATGTAGATAATATTTCCGGATTAAACATATATTCTGCAGAAGGCGGAATTTTGTCCAAATCTTCTCTTACATATTTTCTTTTTAAATTTGTAAGCAATGTTTTACGTCGTAACTCTAAAGCTTCAGCACGTTTTCCGCAAATTATTTGCAAAATGTCATGAGAAACCGCCTTATATTCCGAGTTTTGACCGAAAAATTCTTTTAATTTATCATAAATAGAAGAAGAATTAAGTATAACGCCCGACTGAGAGGACCAATCTATAATAGACCGCAACGCTTTGTTAACAAACTCATTTTGTGCTAAAAAAGCATTAGATAACGCAGCAAAACTCTGAAAAAGACTTCTGACCATTTTGATGCTCTAAGAAACGCAACTCTTCATTAATTTTCAGTTCGGTAAAAGCAGGGAATGCCACATACTTCTTTTGTATGTCTACATATCGTACACCATTCCAATCCGAGGAGTTGAACCTCTGCATTGAAATTAACTTTGACACGCGATCAGAGTTTGCCTTTGGAATCTGTGGTTCTTGAACCGACACGTCTAATTGTGCAATATCTTTAATAATTATTGGTGAATTGCTAAAAGGATCGCTTAGGTTGACATTAGATTCGGTGCTCACTTTCTGATGTGAGTTTGATGATGCCACGTAGTTGCAAAACGTATTATTTAAATGACTTACCAACTGTCGAGACAACTGTTCAAACCTTAAATCTATTTCTCGAAACGAATCGCGAGAATCGCTGCGTACGTGGCGTTCTTTTCGTGGTCTTTTTGGCGGCGGTTGATCCTCTTCTTCGCTCGAACTAGTACTTGACGATGAACACGACTCGTTGGAAGACGCAGATAATTCGTTCTCAACGTGCTGAGTTGGCATCGCTGACTGCACGTTCGAAACACTTAATTGCATGGAAGACACGTTTTCACAATTTTTAACAGTTTTATTTTCTTCATTATACACGTCAGCACTTGTATTGCTCATTCTAACCACTTCACTTCAAAAAACTTTTATGGGAAATTCACTAGACTTGTAGGTCGAATAAAAATTTTTTTTTTTTAAAGCAATAAAAATACTCGTTTTTTAAAGCTAGAACTAGCGACCGCGCAGTTCGAAAAACGACGCAACAATGATCTAAGAGTCTGGCGGCTTGCCTGTGCGTGGCAAATTCAGGTAGAGTTACAGTGGAGGGGGCGCTGGCGGTGGCGGGGGGAAATCGGGAAAGGTCGACATCTAGCGGCAAAGCGAGGAACTAACGATGTACTCTCTCATAATGGACCTCGGACGTCTAACGGAACACATAATATTTGTTTTTATTAAGTAAACCAAACATCCATAAAGTGTAATTAATTTTCAATAATAATGAACTATTGATCACACACAGGGATAATATAATAAGCAATACTAAAAATAACATTTTATATTAACGTGAATTTAAATTTGAGATTGTAGTTATGGTAATATATTCTACACCGAAAAGTTTGTACAAGTTTGTACTACACCGAAGTTACATTATGAATAGAACTATATTTTAACAGTTGAAACCAATCTGAACCGCGTTTCTACGAAACTTTTGACCACTACAATGATAAAACCGAAACGATAACAACTCATTATATATAACGTAACGTAACGTAAAACAAATAATAAAAAAATGTTGTTTCTTTGTTTGTAGACTGTAGGTCGTATATTTGTTATTCGGTTTAGTGTACTTATTAAGATGGTATTTGTAAGTTTAGCCCCGATGTTTCACGTTATAATAATAAAAAATTTCTTGCCGGCGCCCCCCCTTTTTTTTTGTGCGTTGTTTTTTTTTTTTTTTTCCCTTTTCCCCCCGGGGGGGGTTTTTTTTTTTTGGTTGGGGGGGGGGGGCCCCCTTTTTTTTTTTTTTTTTGGGGGCCCCCCCCCCCCCTCTTTTCTCTTTTTTTTTTTTTTTTTTTTTTTTTTTTTTTTTTTTTTTTTTTTTTTTTTTTTTTTTTTTTTTTTTTTTTTTTTTTTTTTTTTTTTTTTTTTTTTTTTTTTTTTTTTTTTTTTTTTTTTTTTTTTTTTTTTTTTTTTTCCCCCTTTTCCCCCCTTTTCCCTCCCCCTCCTTTTTTTTTTTTTTTTTTTTCCCCCCCCCCCATACTCAATACTACATATGTTTATAAACAAAGTTTAAAGCGGTTGTCAAAGGAGGTGTTATATAATTCACATATTATTGTTCAGACATTACAGTTCAACAGATATATTGTTCCCCATTTTACGAAGGTAATGCACGTGAGCAGTTTACTTAAAAACCATTACCACTTTTAACGATTTTAAACGCCAAAGTGCTTTGTTACGATGGTTGCCTTGGTAACCAATATGTAGCGGTTACAGTTAGTTTTATAATAGTACATTATGATATAAATGCGTTTTCAAAGCACACGTTTGTCATACGACGTTTTATAACATATTTACGAGGAAATTATTAAATTCATCACTACTTGACGACATTTTCAAATAAAAACAATACAGCGAAAAGAAAAAGCGCGCGGAATTATTTGTCCACAAATAAGCGATGCGATGCGATGTACAGCCAGTATTACTAATAAAGTAAATTAATATTTTTGTGTTTTTGTTACAGATAAATGGTTGTAATTTATTGTCAAAATTAATTAAATTAAATGTTTATTTGTTATATTTTATTTCCCAAAGTTAATTTTATTCATAAAATATTGACCACTTTCTTGACATAAAACCTGTTTGCTAAGATTTTTAAAAGTATCGTTTTTAGTTTCATTTTTAGACGGAGTATCTTAAAACTTTATTTAAAAAAAACACGTGCTTCTTACATTACATTATCGCACAAGTACGAAATGAGATACATTACGATATTGTAATTGGTGTAATTACAACCACTTTACGAGCAAATATGTTATAAATGGATTTTTACAGTATTAAATGTTATCACTTATGTTGTGCGTAACACGCCTAAAAAGTGTGCGTACTTAGCATGATTGTTGCGGCAAAAATGTAAATAGCTGTCTTCCCTCGACACACCAATGCATATTTCACACACGCCGATAAGCATATTTGCATGTGTTACCGACGCCACGTAATAACCCTATGAATATTTGATGTTTCGAAATTGAGCTCGAATTACGTTAAATGTGCCTTTTGTGAAAAATTCCGATGTGTTTTACGAGTGGGTGTGACTAGAGTAAGTAAGTAAAATCCATGTGAATATAATGTTACTGACTACAAAACACGTTTAACTGATCGAAACGCGAAATATATTTTTTTTATGGCAACTGTAGTCATGGGGATTGGGTTCCATTATTTCACGGTTTAAACCGATTTGAGCGTTACTCGCGTAAAGTATCAGTACATAGAAATTTAAAAAATCAGATTATCAATATATTCTAACTTCAGAAAATGGTTAAGTTTGGTCTTAGTTACTTGAAATGACGATAAAAAGGAAGGTAAACAGCGCCATCTATCGATTTTAGGAGTGCGTTTAAGTTAAATTCCTAAAACCAACCCTACTTCCCTGAATATCGAAGCATTAAGTATATCTAAACATCTCTCAATAAAAAATATTTGTTTAACAAGTTCCAAAACTGCGTGTGAGGGGAGGGATATAGAAGGAATGACAGATATCGAAATTGAGGGACAGTAACGCATTGCCCGAATTAATTGCGCATTTTTATTTTTTCCTTATTGAAAATCATGCTTATTGTTCTTAGGCCACTCTGTCTCTAGCAGCCTTATATAGTTATAATACAGAATTCTGAATAGTTGACAGTTTCCGAGCGATTAAATAAGTTTCGTTATGACGTCATGTAATATATTCACGAATTCGGGCGCTAGGGAAATGAACCGTTATTCCCCTCTCCAGTGACCTTTCTAGGATATTGAACTTTTCTATCCCTTTTCCGTCAAACGCTGACATTTTTAAAATGCTATAAATGCCATTCTTTAATGGGGCTTTGTAAAGATAATCATTCGGTTAAGATGAATCAATATGATAAATATTTTTCTGAAACATGTTGGACTTCGTCTGGAATCTGGATATAAAATGGGCCGTAGGAATATCGAATGTCCGTCTAGGTCACAAACCAGCTTTACGAAAACGCCGTGACGTCTAGTCGCGTTTCGGTTCAGTTCGAAAATACAAAGCCAAAATAGGTCGACGGCGCATTTGTTTAGATGCTATATAGCCTGGGATATTTCACCTACCATCAATCATCTCATCTACCAATGCTTATTCGATGTCCAAAGTAAATTTCGACTGTGACGTACGATACTAAGCAATAAGGAGACTAAGGATTTCGATAGCACAATTATTTATTTATTTTCAAAAGGCTTATCAACTTAATATGCAACATATTACACTTATACAAACTAGCACATAAGTTACAGACAAGACAGCATTGCCTATTGATAACACAATTAGAGTAACAGAGGGCCAGCTACGGTAGTAGGTTCGTGTTCTGCTCGTGTAATCCTTTTTCTTACAACTGTATTAAAATATAATCACATTGACATTACAAAACGATGAAAATGATAATTCCTTTATCCTTTGAGTTTAAAAAAATATGTATTTGTAAACATAAACACATGGAGGTACATTGTGCACAATTTAACAATTTAGATCTTATGTATCTTGGCAGAGGTACAACGCACTCCTCCCAACAATATTGAATTAAACCAATGGACTGATTAAATTAGTCGGTGACATGGATTGTACATATATACAATCCAACAATAATAGAAATGTGTGCGTTATCGTGTGAAAGTGTTTGTGTCTCTTATTTATAGTTCTGAATTAGTCAAAAAATAAACTTAATTACCAAATAAAAAATTAAATCAATTAAAAAATCATTCATTCATGTAACATTTACTTATACCTATGAACGTCGAAACAGTTAAAACTCTTAATTTACATTTACTAACAGTTCGAACGAGAAGATTTGGCAAGAAACTCCCGAGCACTCGCCATCGTTAGTAAGTTTTTACAAAATCATTTAAATATTGATTTACGTTATAAAAACCCTTTCCAAAGAGTTTTTTATGATTTAAATTTATTTATTGACAGTGTTTGTACTTCACTAGGGAAATCTAAATAATATACGAAAAATCTCCGTTATTTATAATTGACATTAATTTGGATAACATTGAATTGAAATCTATGCGTATTTTGCGTCGCTAATCGGAATGTTTGCCTTGGGCTATGACCATATTGGCTCTAGGGAGATTACACTTCCGGAATGAAATATTTCACTAAGCCGCACCTAATTTCATTAAGTGTATATGAAATCCAACAATTTAAGGGTAGTTACTAACTACCGCCTCTGGCACAATGGTAAAATTACCTACCATTGCGGTAAGTTCGAGAGATTCCAAATTCGAATACCTAATTCAACTAGTTGCTTGTTCTATTAATAAAAAAGTCATGGACGTGTTTCTTCCTCCCAATCTAAATAGGGGGATAAAGATTAAATAAATATATAAAACCAGCAATTCCACGCTCAACACACTCCAAGGGCTTACTGAAAATCAGTCTCAGGTCAACAAAGGGCCTGATATAAATGAGTATTATTCTATACGGACAATCTCTGTATAAATTGTTAAGATAAAATTATGTTTTTTTTTTTTTATGTTTTAGCTATTACTAAAACACGAAAAAAAGAACCAAAACATAATTTAAACACACACTTATTATGTAAACCATATGTTGCAACTAGGTTTTGTGTGCCTTAGTAGTCAATAAATTACTTTCTTTTTCTTCTTCCTTCTTCTTTCAATTAAAAATTCTAACAGCGCACAAAATTCTCATGTATGTAGTCTGACGCTTTGAGAGTACAAATTGAATATTTATTAAAGTAACTGTAAATCTATTATTACAAGGTGTGCGTGGAGTTTAACAAGAGAAGTATCTATAGAATTACATACGTAAACATACATTACTACCATTACACTACCACCATCCACAGATGAAAAAGACGTCAAGGTCAATCGCG